AACCTCTGAGCATTTAATAATTTATTCTAATTTTTCAGACAGTGCTACTGGATCCAGTTCACGATTTCTCGGCGTTTTATATGATTTCAACTTTTTGGAGTTCTCAGTGGTCCAACTCTGTCGAAATGTCTAATGCTTCAAGCGTTCCAAGCTCCACGGAATACTAAATCTCACAAGTACTCCACTTTCGAATCATTCTTAAGTTTGCGATTCTCAATTTTACGGAGCAACAAGTTCTTAGAGTTTCTCAACTGCTTGTTAGACTTCCCAATTGTTCAATTTGCCCACTACTCCGAGTGTTCAGGGTTTCAAACGATTATCTTCCATTCTCAAGATTTTGCGTTTTTAATTCCTTTTCGTCCTTAACACTAAAACTATCGAGCGAAACAAAACGACAGATTTCAGATTTCTTGTTTTATTGTTGCTGAAATGATAAAGCTGTTTTTACGGAAAGTCATTGAGTGAATTTCTCTATTCAGATACATATCATAAACAAAATTGCACAAAGTATGCGTCAATTATTTAGAGTGTTGATATTGAACAAAAGTCGCAGTAGTTTTATTAATTCTGTTGCGATCCTCGGTTATATTGTAGATTTCAATTAGTGTCGACAAAGCAGGTACAGTTATATCACCGACAATTTCTTCACATTTTTCTAAAATGTAAAATGAGCTTCGACAAGGTGACAACTCAACTAGGTTAACAAATATTGCACAATCATTGCAGAAATGAAAATATTAATAAGATCAAAAAAGCGTGACGAAAGCAGCACAGCTCATTTTTCAACTGTCACTTCGCAGTAACTTCTTAAATTATTTTTCGTATCGCTATCGCGAATCTTCGAACTTCAGTTTTACTGTATTTTGATGGACGCGTCCCGTTTATCAACTTCAAAAAGATGATTTTATTTCACTTCAACCTGTAGGTTTTCAGGGACGGAATACTTTTTTGGTAAAAGTATATAGGGTGTTCTATAATTATGTAAACACCTGGAAAGGGGTGATTCCTGAGCTCATTTGAAAGAATTTTTTCCTTAGCCAAAATGCAATTCGCGGCTTTGTTTACGAGTTATTAACGAAAAACACTGGCCAATGAGAGACGAGCACGGCTGACGATAATTGGTCGAGCCAACGAGCGGTCGAAGTCCAGTTCCGCTCGTTGGTGGATGTTGCTATATTCGAAAAAAATAGTTTACCTATTATATTATTGCACATTTTGAAAGTGTTCAAAAAGCACAATTTTGTACTTTGTCATAGTTGCCTCTAAGATAATCAAATGTCCTATACTAGACGTCTTTAAGACATCTTACAGATATCTTTGTGCCATCTGGGTTGTTACCATTATTTTCAACATATTGCAGTTATAAAAACAGAAAAATCTTTTTCTTCTAATTTCTTACAATTAATTCAATTTTTATTTTGCATACTACTAATTACTTTAAATATACTGCTTTGCCAATAAATATTTTTTAGCTCTTGGTTGATGATCCAAGAAAATTCTACAGTGTTAAATATTCCACGATCGACTAAAAATATTAAAAAAAAACGAAAAGAAGAATCGATTTTTAGACCTGTCAAGGTGTACGTTGTCCCTTAATTAATAGAAGAGAAGAAATTATTTTCTGATCGTCTCGAGAGGAAGGATCGAGTACCCACGCTGCGCTGTCGACGTCGCAGAAATGTCAGCACGCGATCGTAACGATCGTGGGACGCGTTGGAGCGTTGTGTTACGCCCGTTTCGGCCGGGTAGATCTTTCTTTTGCAACAGCAGCGGCGCGATTACAGATCGCGGATCGTTGGATCGCGGGTCGCGGTTCGCTCCAACGATACCGTAACGCAGGGAACACGTGGACGCGAGAGGATGTGAAGGAGATTGAAAGGAAATCGATGTCGACGCACGCAATAGTGCTCCATTAACCGTACCGAGCATACACGTTGCTACGAGCGGTCCGCGACGATTCGCGTTTTATCTCAGGCCCGTTCTACTTTCCATTTTAATTGCGAGCATCGGCGGACTTTCCGATGGAATTTGATACCTGGTGGTCACCGAGACAGACCCGACACCGACTATAAATGGAAAGACACTGTCCCACGAACTTTTCGACACCTTGTTCTCCGTTAATGCGTTCACTACCGCGCGAATTTTTTGCGTGCCCCACATAAATACCACTTGTTACGCTCGCACCAGATGTCAATGTTTACGAACGACGGTTATTTATTATTTATTGATGCCGTCTCTTTGCGCCGTTATCTACTAGGCATACTAGAATGTATATTTTTTTTCATTTACGTACTTGAAAGAGTTTCATTACACGAGCGTGATCTTTTTAACGTTATATTTTCATAATCGAAGTGGGCATTATTAGAATTAGAATTCGTAAGTTTTTGTCGATTAGTTAGAAGCTTGTTAATTTAATTTCTATGAAAATACAGGCCTGGTATTAGCGAATAATTTTGTGAAGGCGCTTTTAAAAGTTTTCTCGCTATGGAAGGGTTTTGGATGTTTGAAAAATATAGTATTTAGTTAGCGAAGGATCAGAGAAACTTGCCTAAGAATCCAGATAAACACGAATGTCATATGCAATTTATTTAAAAAAGGGCAGATTAATGCTGAACACATGAAATACGCGAAATATATATCAAATAAAATCTGTGTGTAGTTATCGTTTGAAGACCAATTTTCTATAAAAATATGTATTTTAACATGTTGATAGAGTAATTTACTGATTGATTGAGCGATCGACTTCGGGAGTTTTGTAATTTCATTGTTTCAGCATATATTTAATATGTTTATAAAATATACATTATAAATATATTATAATATTTTATACATTATATATTACATATTATTATGCATTATAAAAATTGCGGAAAATTTAAGTGAACTTAATCCTGTCATTTTTATGAATTATTATACATCGGACACTTTCAGCGTGCTTTTTATCGATGCAGCTGTAACCTACAGGAAAAGGTTATTTTGCAGTCTTTATTAGTACTTGATTGATGGTGGTCGTGATAGTGACATTATAGATAGTGTAATTCGCAATCTTACAGAAAGAAATATGGGATCCTACATAGTGCAATCATGTACTGTACAATCATGTGTATGCGAGCAATTTCGTAACAATTCATCACACTCGTCACGCAGCCATTCGTTAACATCGTTGTTAATATATTTAATTAGTACACTATTCAAGAAATGTTATTCTGTGGCATTTGCTCCGTTGTAATCGTATCGAAGGAATTTCTTCGCGCCGTTGACCTCCGCAGTAAACGTGTTCACGTTCGCGTGTATCCGTGAAAGATTACATACTGCATGAATATGCGAACGCAATGTTTGTTGTTCTTCCATTGACCAAGGGAGGAACCGACGGACAGAGAGTCCTCTGTCAAACGGAAGAGAAGAAAATTTACGACTTCGCCGACGATTTTTATTAATTTCTCAGCACGGAATCATAGGAAGTGTATAATAACCGACGACAGCGAGTATTTTGTTTTACTTTCTACTTAGCGATGCGTGTATGTAAATTCAATATTTACCTTCCCTCCATTCATTGCGTAAGTACGCGAGAGATAGATCCTGTCTTTCTTGTGTACCTAAGTGCTCCACGTTTTGTAGCTCTATTATGTATATTTATGCGAGTATTTTAGCGAGAGATGGTAACACTATACGTTACAGTAATTATCTACTTTTGTTTCCAGTTTTAATGTTTTTTTAGTTGATAATGAATAAGACAGTGGTAAATACGTCCGCGAATAAATATGGACATCTATATTAACATTTCACAGTGAAGCTGTGTGCTAAAAGATTCCGCAAGAAGATGACCATGAATGCTGAGATGGGTACTTGAACGGTGCAACTTTTTTTCAGACTTTCGTGCTAATGGATTGTATCATATAAAGAACTTCTTTGACACGTTGATCGCCGAATCAGCAACTGAAAGGTTTAATTTCAAGTAATTTATTTAATAGGATAAACAGCGAAAATGAAAGTCGAAGGAAGTGTAGCAATTATTCCTTAGCAACGTGCGATAGATTGCATGAAAATAAACATGAAAGTATCTTATTTTCAATAACTTAAACTGCTCTATTTTTTATCAAAGTTTGACAACAAATAATCGTTTCACTGGACTGGCGAGAACGATGGAAGGGGGATGTTACTCTTCAGAAAAATGTTTCTTATCATCGACTAATTATCAAACATAGTCAGATCGGACTTCGCATCTTGCATAAATGTCAAGGAGAATGTCGATATGAATCGGACTCAGAGCCGATAATTTAATCACCATATCATTTCCAGCAAGCATTTCACGATTATCTCAACTAATTATAAAATAACATGCTGTCTCTAAAATGATCTTTCGAATCATGTTATTTCAAACGTGATCGCAAGGACGGAAATAATTGTTTAAAATATCATTCGAAATAACGTTCCCTCGAAAGTGATCGCATAGAAATAATTACGAAATGGAATAAAATGTCATTTGACATATCATTTCGATTAATGTCACTGCAAAAGTGGTCGCAGTCATTGAGACAATTATTGTCTAAAATACCATGTTACTTGCAACAACATTTCAAGCAATGTCATTCCAAAAATGATCACAGGCGTGAAGATAATTATGAAAGAAAATAACATGTTATTTTTGTAATGTAATTTTGAAACAGTAATTAAATATAATTAAAATTAAATATTAAAAATTGACCGCGATGTAATAATATAAATAATCATGTGATAAGATAATATTTCAAATAATGTCACATTTGACACGTAGAGTAGTCGTAGGGCGCGAATCCGGCCAGAAAGAGCGTCGTGTCGCAGAGGAGAGGACACCGAATTTTCGCGGAGGCGCGGCCTCCGAAGAGATCATGAAATTCCTCTGTCCTGTGCAGGGATGACTCGGCGGGCAGGTGAGAGGTGGAAAGCGAAAAGAAAGGTAAGAGGGAGTCGGTGATCCCTTCCACGGGTCGGCGGGACCCGAGAAGAAGACTTCACGGAGGAGATCGTGGTGCTCGCAGTGCATCGGCTGCTCCATCGGCCTGACGTTCGGCGTCGAGCGACCTCCACCTCCGTGTTGTATACTCATGCGACGTGCAACAAAATGCCAATCAGCCTCCGTACACTGTGTAAGTGCGAGATTTTCTCGAGAATCGAATTTCGGCCGCGATACCGCGCCTCGAGGCCGTCGCCGCTGCCGTCGCCGTTGCTGCCGTCTTTCATGAATCGGATTACCGGACAATCGTGGCAGCAGCGTGGCTACTCGCCCATAAGAACCTTTGTTTTCTGCGCTGGTCATTGAGCAATTCAATAAGAAAGTGTCACGAGTGATTGAAACGAGAGAAATCTTGATATTAAGGGAATTAAGAGCGCGACATTAATTACGCGGCAGTGTGCTTTTACTTAAAAAAAGAAAAAGAACGTTTATGTTGTCCACGATGTTTAAGCTGCATTCGATTGTTTAGTAAAGTATCTTTCGCGTGAAAGTGCATTGGTACTGGTATTTACGCATGTACGATAAATTTTAGGGAACGTCATTCTTTTATGGAGGATTTGTTTTCAATTTTTTGAACCTTTTTCGAGCCGGTCGTAATGATCATTTCAAAATTGTTGGAGTTATGAACATTGATTTAATTAAAATTAACTTCTTAATTAAACCGTATTTGTAAACCGTATATTTTAATGAAAATGGCGAGGAGTCTAAGTAAATTCAGTCTTGTTATTTTTATAGAGCAATACAAGTCAGCTATTTCTAATGCTTGGCAGGTCAAGTGTTAAATAGCATCATGTGCTTTCTTTATTGTATTCTTGAACTATAGAGAAAGGCAATCTTGATGGTGCACTGACACGCTTCATCGTGGCTGTCTGATACTAGAATCATGAAATTTGTTCCTTAACATTAGATTTACGGTGTACAAAAAACAGCTGTTTTATATTAGTTTATAAAAGTAACAATAAGACATTTATTTTGATTTTTAACATTTATTGTAACATTTGCCGTAAGTAACATATAAATTGAATAAATGTCTCATAAATGTATCTTTACAATATGTATAATCATAAATTAAAAAATTAGTGACCCGCCATATGACGTGTTCCGTAAATCTATTGTTAAATTCTTGGCTATGTGTTGGCAAATTCTTGGTGTTCGTTCCTGTGTATAGTTTGAATCAAAGAGTAATTTTGTTAATTTCGTTCGTTCGTTAAAACGATTTATTCGTGTGATTTGTTAAATTTATTTGCATCATGCATAGATAACGAAGTCGCAAATAAGAATTCAAGGAAATAAGCAAATAAGAATACATGGCGTTGTTTAAAATACTTGATTTAATACGAACGCACTTTTGTTCGAAAGATATTTTGTTAAGTTGCTAAAAATAACTCGAACATCGTGACAACCAATTTGTGATTCACCATGCGCACGTTTTCGAAGGTTTGTACACATTGACGCATGTAAATCTGAAAATCTGGAACTGGACGATCTTCTTTATACGAGTACGGGTTTTATGCATCGTGTTTTCATAGTTGTTAGTTTTTTACAAAAGCAGTTAAATCACTTTCCGATTTGATGGGTTTGTTTGTGCTGCGTTGACTTATCGAGGTTTGAAGTTTTATGACGGGTTCTTCTTGTATTTCGTAGAGAGAGAGAGAGAGAGAGAGAGAGAGAGAGAGAGAGAGAGAGAGATGATTTTCTGATGATTTTGAAATTTATTATTCATGCCTCGTCTTATTTTCTTCTGCCGGTATTTTTTGAGAACCGTGCACTATCGAATAAATTCTTCTCGTTCTATTTTGACGAAGCTGTTTCGTAGGAATCGCATGCTATCAGATGAATTCTTTTTCATCCTGTTCTTCCGTACACACGTGATCACTGAAGATCACGAGCCGATCGCACACGATCAGACGAAACATTTTATTTTCGGAGAAACAGATCTCAGAAGATCAATCGTTTCGAATCCGTCGTTTTAAGATCTTCCAGATATCACTGCTTCCTGAGCGATTGCTTTCTCCCCTTTTCACATAAAATAAAATTCGTCGTTGAAACTACTTTTTAAGGATTAAGGACTTTAAAAATACATTCTTTTTTATCGAGCGCTCAGTGCTTCGAATCCCGCCTGGCTCTTATGGCGATAATTTTTACGATATTCTGGACTCGGGGAACATTTCATGGATGTTCTTTTTTTTTATTATCGATCGACTCGCAGAAATTGAATTCTGCAAGAGAAATTCGAATTAATACGTTCCACGTTACTTAGCGTATCATTTTTATGCACGCGAGATTCTCCTGTGCAATATACATTCGAATATAATAATGATGTGCATAGGGGAAACGATCACAAAATTCGATCTGTGTTCATCTACGAAGAGTTTGAATTATCATTGCCTGCTATGGGTAACACGAGACCGGAACCAAGGTAATGAGTAATGAATATTGAAAATCGATGTCGATAGTCGGTGTGTAGGCATATCAACTGGCACGTGAACAGAAGCCATAATTACGCGTGTTACGCTATCGAATGTACAGGTATTACACTCTCGCCGAACAAATTTTCGTTTATACCGATTTATATTGTCGTTAATTTGTCATTACTGTTTGATTTTCTCAGTTGAATTTCGAACTCTCAAAACGACACATTTTTACAAAAAAGGTTGTATTTTAGAAGCAGCAAATTGTAGATACAGTAATTTCTCCCTAATTCGCGCTCAGATTGCGCATAAAATTGGAAAATTTGGGAAGAGGAGATACGATTATTCGATTATATTGCGTTTCTTTTTTATAGCTGTTGACAATTGGTAACTATAAAAAAGAGCCGCAAGGCTCGAATTCCCAGATTGTCCAGTTTTTTGCGCAATCTGAGCGCTAATTAGGAAGAAATTACTATACTATATTCATCGTTATCTCATTTTCTCAGTTCAATTTCGAGTACCAAATATAATACATTTTTATAAAAAAGAGGTTGTATTTTAGAAGCAGCAGATTGTAGATACAGAAATTTCTCCTTAATTTTCGCTCAGATTATGCACACAAATGGACAATTTGGGAAGAGGAGATACGATTATTCGTTTATATTGCATTTACTTTTTATAGTTATTGACAATCGGTAACTATAAAAACGAGCCGCAAGGCTCGAATTTCCAAATAGTCCATTTATGTGCGTAATCTGAGCGCTAGTTAGGGAAAAATTACTGTACTATATTCATCGCTATCTCATTTTCTCAGTTCAATTTCGAGTACCAAAAACAATACATTTTTATAAAAAAAAAACTCTATTGAAGGTGCAACAGATTATAGATATTATATATTAATCGCTAGTCGTTAACCAACACACAATAAATAACAACGAATTAAAGTAACGGGTTACGATATAGGTGATCAGTATACATTGGCAACTTTCCCCTATGCACTGCCATCCATGAATTACTTATATCAGTAAAGCCCGGGCTGAATTGTCCATACGAGATTCAATAAGCAATGAAATTCGAAGATATTTATGAGTGCTCCACATTGTGGAGAGTGTAACCGTTCTTGAATTGAATTTATGTGACTTCATTGTAGGGAACATTGCTCAATTAAGTGCTTACTGCAATTCTCACTTTTCTTAATCAGGGTTTTGTTCAATATATATATATTCGGTATTATTTGTCTTACAGAAAAATAATCAATCAAAGTAGCTGTAGCGCAATTTATACTTCTTTTTAGAATGGCCAAGTGCCCGGAGATTTATGGACATGAGTCTGTATCATATATAGTCTGTTAATGTTCTTGGAAGACATAGAGTGATACACTGACAGAAGAACAATTTCATTCGGTTCTAGTGATTGGTTAATCGGCATCCAGTAAAAAGGTACAAGCCCGAAGATTCCGCGGCGGATTTCGCTGTATGGAATCAATTGAGAAACAATCGATTCATATAGGTGATAGAGCGTAGCAGTGATTCATTTCGTTTGTTCGGTGCCGAATAAAAAAGTGAACGGATCGAGGCTCCGAGGAATTTCTTGTGTAAATAGGATCGTTAAAGAATCGATGAATCTTCGGCACGGTGAACGTCGATGACGTTGATTTTTGTTGTGTGTTGCGCGAAATGCATTGTCGAAGGGGAAATGTGTAGGACCAGGGCTCGTGATTAATGAAATTGGACGGCGTTAATTTACAACGACGTAATGAACATTGCGAAATCAACTGGTATACAAATTATTGACGTTCTATTTTGGTACACGCGTGTCATTGAACCTCCGCGGAATGTTTTCCTTGTTCGATCATAGCGAAACGTGACTACATGCTTTTAAGTGGCGCTACATTTCTTGGTTTAAACCGAACGGAAACGTCTTTGGTGTAGAGTGGAATCGAACGATCTGCTGTAGATGCGAGAAATATTGATTCAATACGATTTATCATCGATACGGAAACATGTAAATTCCGTAAGATATTTTATGACCACGAGGAAAGAGATGGTATCGATATGAGATTTTACTTTTTAATGTGGGGAGTCTCAGAATAGCCATAAATGGAAAAGTCAAATGTACGAGTTTCAGGTATCTTGTATGGAATGTGCTTGATAAATGGACTCCGGATTTGATGCATTTATGAGAAAAATAACTAGGACCAGTTTAAAGCTGTGAGCAAAAGAAAATAATTGGAGAGCTCTATTTTCAACTTGTTCAGATTATTCAAGTAAAACGTGTGCCCGGCTCTTATCTCTTGCAATTGATGCATACAACTTTTATTTTGCATAAATGTTCGCAGTCTATTGATAAATATAAATGCATTTTGTAAGCCACGGTAACTTATAGACATGACGAAAATATCATCCAAATCTTGTTTACGAATTAGAAATAATTAGTAATAACTTATCGAGTATAGATATTATTCCGTCCTTTAAAATTGGAATAAACTTCTAATCTCTTGACATCAATATTTAAGCATTCGAGTAAATTTAAGTAAATTTTTGTTCTCTTCTAAGAAATTATTGCAATCGAAAAATTTCGAATCGCAGTAACTGCGAAGAAAATGGTATGCCAAGGTGTTAAAGACAATTTTTATATGATTGTTTGCATCTTATCGGCAGCCGAAAGGAGCGTAGCAATTTTCGATCGTAAATTTTTAATCAAGTTTTAATAGTTGAGTTGATTATACTGCAACGTAAAATATACTGCAATGCAAAATAAAAGGTGCACGGAGATATATGGCTTAGGGGGAGCAGGAATATATGTTTTTCAAGGATATGAAAACTATTAATTGGACGATATTTGTCTTACACGTGAAAGATCGTTCTGTACGTTGCAGTGACACAAATAGGGCAATTTAATTACTAATGACGCGTAACTGTAGCTACCGAGCACAAAACGCTGTTTTCTATTATCGATCGTTCATGATTGCATTATGCAGCCGCTGCAACGATCCACGATTCATAAATACAGGTGACGGGGCAGGAACATGCAAATATATTCTCACGACTGTGTTCGGAGCACAATGCACCTCCACCACGAAGTTACAAATGAACGAGCGATTCAATTGATCGGAAGTAACGCGAAGAGATACGTGCACCGGCGCACAATGAGTAACACAGGAACTGAAAAGTCGCTGCACTTCGATCTTCTCACGCGTATCCGTGAAATTGGAGACTTCGAGAATAGTTGCGAAGTTCGACAACTCGGGAACTGAGAAACTCGGGATGTCGGAAGTTTAGAGGTTTGCTACGTCAACAACAACTTCTACGTTGATTACGTCAACAATCAAATTCTGATGCGGTGGAAACGTTGAGAATCGACTTCGCAAAGATTTCGAACGTGAAAATTTCAAATATATAAATTCGGAAAATGGAGAGTGTTTTTTAGGCTTATGAACCTTGAATTTTATAAATTTAGTAATAATTTAGTAATTTAATAGAATTTTGATGTGCGAAAAACAAAACGATTGAAAACTTGAAAAAAATTCAAATTTTTAGTACCTTTTATGACAAGTACTTACAAAATTATAGGTTTAATCCTTTGCACTCGAGTGGATTCGCTATTTTCAAAAGAATCTCCACATTATTCATATATTCTATAAGCAAACATCTTCGTTTTGGAATTAAAAAAGAGTTAAAGGTTTATAAGGAAACGTAAAATTAAATGTAATGATCTGGACGCTTTTCAAAAATTTTCAGTTATCAGAAACAAGTTCCAAGATAAGCGGAATGGGTCTTCTGAATTCGTGAAGTTTCAGTGTATTACGAGCTTTGAAATTTTGAAATTAATAATTTAGTTACCCAGAAAGTTACGAATTTCAAGATACGAGGATCGGAAAGATCGAAAATTTGTATCTTTGCATTTTTAGTATTTTTTCTCCAAATACCTTTAAGTTCTTGAATTTTTGGTGCTTTTTATCCTAATTATTTTGAATTTGTCAGGTTTAGAAATTTATAAAGAGACGTAAAATTGAATCTAATGGTCGGACGTTTGTCGAGAGTTTTCAACCACAGAAACAGGTTTTGCGACGCGTATTTCTTAGCTCGCGCAATTAGAAGTCTAAATCTGGATGATTACTCGACTTGTTAATTTCTAAGTACGACGTTCCGGTGTCTTAATTTTAATTTTTGTTTTTTACGTAACCCACGAGTTTGTTCGCAGAATCCTCGCCTAGATTTCGACATCCGCCATTAAAACTAATTTGTATTTGCAAGCCGCGGATTGCGCTAACTAGAGACGCTGAATTTCTATCGTGACGCGTTTTCTTCTGACGCATTCCGAGATTACTGCAAGAATTGTCTGACTTCGTAGGAGAAAGAATTGTTCGATGTCGTAATTTGCTGGTTACGAATTAGCCCGTCAGCCGGATCTCAATGTTTTTCTGCTGTTCCACTACAGCCTTGCACTTAACAATTGTTAATAAAAACCGTGTAGATAAAGCAGGAGTAATAGACGAACGTAACATTTCCATTATCGTGATCTGTGAACTGGAATTAGAAGGTTCGGTGCAGAGATCTTAGATTTGAAGAATGTAGTTGAAGAAATAGCTTAATTTACGCGGTAGCTTTATATTATGTGATCTTCCAGTCCAATCTAAAATTTCTCTACGTACGAAGGAGTACATTTTTTGAATAAAAGTACTTCCTATAGTAATCAAGTAGTATAATACTCCTCTTAGTATTCAAGCATGAACTATCTAAGAAACTAATTAAGAAGATCGATATTTCGCGAACTTTTATATTTTAATTTTGTTTATAGTAAATCGAATTTTCTGACAGAAGAATAAATTATACTAATATACTAATAAATAATGAAAACAGACCACTAAATTTTCCATTTTATGAAGCATCTACACTCCGATACGATATTTTAACACAATCTCATCCATCAAACTTTTATATTAATTTTAATTACAATTTATTACGTACCTATTTCAATCGGGCGTTCGTTATTCTCATTTTTCACGCTCGATTATTATTTTCTTATCCATTCGTATCGCACGACAGGACCGCATAAGCCGTCCAATAAACAATGAACGATAAATGGCAAAACATGAACGCTGTTAGTTGAGCGATCACGTCGATCTCGATCGATCCATCTCGCGCAGAAAACGCAGGATCGCACGGGATCGTTTGAATCGGTTGTGTCGCGCGACGCACGCTCCACGGGATCGCTTTCTCACGTGTGACCCAATTAAAAAACTATAGCACGCATGATGTCATTGAGAAACGCGAGATAACGGGATCACGTGCGTGGGAGGGGCGATTTATCAATCCGGCGATCCGAGTTCCACGGATTCCACGGAGCTGTCCGTTCGCTTGTACGCTCGGCCGGAATTCATCTCGTGCATTGTCTTCGCCCGCGCTTGCTATCGTTACTGGCATTAAAAAGATGTACCGGGAAAGGTCACTAAGTTGCTTGGTAAACGAACGAATACCGATCCTCGCGAAATATCGAACTGCGGTCGTTTTGTTTCGCTGTTAAAAGTCACTGGTACAGATTCTCTTAGCTTTTCCTTTCGCACGAGGATAAAAAAGACGATGGAAAAGGGTTTGGCACAGTTGGATTTATACGAGGGTGGAAATATTAATGCAATCCGGGCTTCTTAACGCTAGCGACTGCACAACGCCAGAATTTCATAAATTGCATAAAATTAAAGTGTTTTATCGAATTAAATTAAAATTGCAAACAAAACTTGTATAACATCAATAATTTTGGTTTGCAAATTTGAATAAAATTAAGAAATTAATATCTCCTTTATACATGTGTGTGTGATAATGATATACCGATTTAAAAACATTAATTCATTGATTTGGATAGTAATTGTATGTTCAATGTATTTAATTTATATTTACAGTCATTAATTTACACACGAGTATTTACTCGTGTGTATTATTAATTTCCTCAAATTACATTCGCACAGTTTTATTTTCTCATTAAATTTAAATTACTTTATCGTACAATTGTTAATGTTTCTAAAGCAATATCTTACTTTTATATATGACAAAGTTCTGAAAGATACAATAATTTTTAAGCTTACGTCATAACAAAAATCCATTTGAACACAGCTATTCGTTTTGCTTTGTTAATAATTATTCAACATTCATTAATAACCGCACAACTATAGTACCTTGATCGAACAAATTTGCAATCGGTGGAGTTAACAAAATTTTTGTTTAGAGTTCTGCATTGTTGCACGCTCTTAGCAATTCAGGAATAAGAAACACAATACCAGGAAGTGGTTACAGAACAGCACCGGCTAGACAGATGTCAGATTACTAGTACAACGATAATCTCGCAGTCGAATTATTACGAGCATATGAAATATCAGCTAGAGATTTTGGAAAAATGGAAACACTATTTGATGCTCAATTGCATCAGAATTACATAAACAATTTTTCCTAGTCGAGTGAAATACGATGCAATCACGGTTTATCGATCAATGCAGATTGCTTTTTGTAATTGAACATTACTTTTTTTACTTTTTTTACTTACAATTCATATTCTGGTAGCAACACCATGTTGTAACGTTTTGGTCAGACGTGTACCGAAATGAAAATCGCATTTATGTTGTTCAAATAATTCCAAATGGTGTTATATTAATTACGAGACGAACCGTTTCTAAATGGTTACTAATCGAGAAACCTGCTAGGTAAGAAGCTAATTTCTTGCGGTTCCTGTTCTCATCCTGTAATCCAGTAATAATTAACGCGCAACCGAGTGTACGTGGTTTTACATAATCCCATGAAAAGTGAAAACTATCGCCATGCAAATCAACGATCTTTTTTGCAGTAAATTAAAACATTTTTGAAGCTGCAGGTGCAGTTACTCGTAAAGATAATTTATCGCTCTGCTTCCCTAATTATCGCGCTGAATCTTTCATCAGTTAACTTAGCTTCCATCCTCTTCCACTTTCCAGTCTCGGATTCCCACGAACACTGAATCAAGTATAGTAAATTCACTCTAATTGACGCTCAGTGTGCACACAAAAATGGACAATTTAGGAAAAGGAGTTTATTTATAGTTACCGACTGTCAATAAGGATAAAAACGAGCCGCAAGGCTCGAATAATCGTATCTCCGCATCTCAAATTATCCATTTTTGTGCGCAATCTGAGCGCGAATTAGGGAGAAATTACTGTACGGTAAATTTTCCCTAATTGACGCTCAGCTTGTACACAAAAATGGACGATTCGGGAAAAGGAGATACGATTATTTGATCCTCGCGATCCTTTTTTATAGTTACTAATTGTCAATAATTATAAAAATGATCCGCAAGGCTCGATTAATCGTACCTCCTTTTCCCATATCGTCCATTTTTGTATTCAAGCTGAGCGTCAATTAGGAGGAATGTACTGTAACAGTTAAACACAGTCGACAAATTCGTATGATCAAGACTCAACGCTTCCGGGCTTCAACGTCACTGTATTTTATCATCGTTCATGCGACAGCCCCAATCATGTAAAACAAGCAGAAACGTGTGAAACAATGCTCTCACGATCCAGTTACATAGGCATCGATCAAGTTCGAAAGCAGATTGCTCCGTGACTCCTCTGAAACCATGGAACCGAGACAGTTGTATTTATCCTTGGAGAGAGACCGGGCTTATTACTATCTTCGGCAGACGGCATCTATAAAAATAATTGATGGAGCCGTTAAACTGCGATTGCTCGATGAGATTCACGTTTCTTCTATACCTTCGACTATCTCAGATAAAGTAAATGGAATGTATGTAAAATTGCCTAATCGTCGTGATATTTCATTTATTCCTAATAGAAAATGAAAAATCCTTTACACGAAAATGCATTAGCATTTGCAACGAATTTGCAGGTGTAAAATAAATTTTCCAAAAAAATCAGATCTTTTGTTACAAGGAGATGATAGAAAACGATTTTCTACAAATATATTATTCGTCAGAAAAACTAAATTTATAATTTTTCTTATCCTATTCTTCAAATACACGAAAAGATCAATTCAATGTTGCGGTAATATGTTTTATTTCGATTGTTTGGTAGTTAATATGCTTTATAAATTTGATATAATTGAATTAATGTTTCCAGAGCTAATTAATCTATTTCCCATTGACACTGTCACTATTGCATGACAGATGACACTATTGCATAGTCATGTCATTATTCGTCAAACCAAAATTACGTTAGCTATTGACATTTTTATCTAAACGAAAGATTTTTATCTAAAAACAAACTTTTTTACAAATCTCCTACCTTCTTCAATTCATTACATCGAATTGTATACATTTCTGTCTTTTATTACTCATTCTTTCTCAATTAATTCATTCTCAAATCGGTTCTTATATTATATTAACAGTTTCACTTGCAATGGAAAAATATTCTAAATCTTTTTTCACACCTAAGCCTAAAATTAGATGAAAACCGTACAAAAATTATACCGAAGATAGGATCGTGCACATCACTGAGAAAGCGTACACCTTCACCAGGGGTATAAAAATAGTAGCTTCAAGCAGTGAGTATTTCGCAATGGATAGCATTGCGCGTTTAATATCCATCGTGCAATAAAGAGGCAACCCGTGGCAGTATCTCACATTGTATCATTGAAACGTTATTGCCACCGAATAAAATATTCGTTAGAATAATGACCATGAGATACGAAATACCTCTGTTTACCTCTGAAATACCTCGCCTTTTTTCTTTGTCATTACCTCTCCAAAACTTTCAAACTTTCATCTTCGCTATAAACTTTCATTAGCGCGAACGTTAGGCGATCATAAATTAATTCGTTCGAAACGGTATCCGCTGTTTCATTACTTTCCGCTCGTCTACATAAATTACCTAAAAGTGCAGCTACGCGATGAAGATATAGACCGAAAACATTCTAAAGTTGCCTCACTGACGGAAAAATACATCGCTGAAAGAAGATTCGTCACTGTCATACGCAGGAGGCGAGGCCGCGAAAGGGAACGAATTGAATTTTTCCCAAGACAAGAAGGGAACGCGTGCCTTTTTCTCTCGGCGAAACGTGCATCGTAGATGCAACGGGCAACGCGATTATGATTTTAAATACTCACCGAGGCACTCCTTTTTGTTCAGGTCTCGTGACGCTGGTCTTGTGCAACATTCACGGCAGTCTTGAACATGAAATTCCAAGGAGGAGCTCCCTGTCGCGGCGAGCGATCGACGGCACCAGAGGGAGGTATTGAATAATCGAAAACTCAGTGGCGAAATTCTTTCGCTCGAGCCGCGACTATGCTAACGGAACACTAACACGCGACGATGTTCGATTACAGGAAGTACTTCGATCCGGACGAAGAAGGGGTATTGGACAGTTATGGTTCTGCCGGCGGCCAGTACGATTCTTCCGAGGACCCAATGGGTAAGCAAATTTCATTCGCACGTTATTTTTCGCGTCTACTCGGATTGACAATGTACAGTAATTTCCCCGAGTAATGTTCGGAGGTCGGAATAGAAACCTTCTTCGTATGATTACCTAGAATCATCGCAGAAACATCGTATTGATTATAAATTTTACGAGATACAATCTTATTATATCTCCTCGAAGGAGACGTCTGAGTACAAAAGGTTTTCATGCATTAAATTAATAGCAAGTAGAGGAATTTATAAGTGGATTTTTCTAGTTCCTCAAAATCAGTAATTTATAGAATATTTTCACTCTGAACAGATTCAATTATTGAAATCCATGTTGATGGATATAGAAAAACATATTCAACCTGGAGTGACGCGCATCAACTGGGATTCTCTGAATATAGCGGACTTCGGCGAGAGTTGCGAAAAACTGTTAAAGAACTTGAGCTCCACTATCGATCAAGTAAACCACATGAAGAACGATCTTAACAACAGGATATTCTCCGAGATGCAACGATATAACTTGTTTTCTCTGTCTTCCGAATTACCTGAAGGCGACTTCTTACCATGCAAGGTTCGATTCGTTTCGCAAAATTTTACAAACAAATTTTTCCAATCTATCACAACCAATTTTCGATCATAGTTTCTCGTTTCGTCTTCGTATGATCATCTAGAAATGGTCCGTTGGAATTTGATATCCTCTATTCGTGAACACGTTGACTGACGCGGTGGCCATAGTCGACGCTATAACTTCAGCAGCGTTAGGACGTTCATAGTTCACCGATGCAACCAAACTCGATAAAAATGTGTAGAGTATGCGAACAGACAACGTTTTACAGTAATCTCTACCAGAAATGTTCGGAGGTTGTAATTGAAACTGACAGATCTGAAAATACTATGTCGCGATTCTTCGGACCTAGCGCCTCGTTTTTATAGAAACTCGGGGCAGTCGGCAAAAAAAGGCAGCGGCTGCATGTCGGTGTACGTTAATACGAATACATAGTAATGCTAGAATAAAAACGATAACATAACTTTCTTGTTTCTAATCTTTTGCCACGATTCGAAGGCAATTCGGAGGCCACAATTCGAAGGCAATTCAATAGGTGGAATTTAGTAATTAATAATTTAAGATCGGAGTCACGATACGAATCGTCTTAAGCCTACCGAACTCTAAAGGTGACTGACTTGTGATGCTTTATAAAAATAACAAGACCGAAGTCATTTGAACCTTTCGCCGTTTTTATTAAAACGTACGTTTGATTTAAAAAATCCACTCGTTTACTTCCTACGAAATCATCTCTATATTTCTATCATTTTTACGTATATTTTTATTATTGTATATTACATTTCATCGAGTAAACGTGATCTTTCTTTTGCTGTAAAGAGCAGTTAGCTCCAAGGCTTTAGATGGTTTTAAATGGATCGCAATTGCGTGTTTATTATTTCTCAATACATATTGTTAGAATATTATTGCTCCTGAATGCCTTATTTCTTATAGTAATCATCACAGTGAGATACACTCTCTTTTTAAATAATTTTAATGGTTACTTACCACACTTTGTGCAACATATTAAATTATTTTTATTGAATGAAGCAAGAAGGTCGCGTTCGTCGTGTAACAGAAATATTTGTTAAGAACACTGTGATCGTTAACTCTAATTGTTTTTCGGTGACTTATTCAAACAACTCGATGGCGAAGCTGTCTCCTCATTGCGGCGGTCGTCGATTTGCAGTCTTATATTTGCAGTCATATATTGCAGCGAGCGCTTAATTTATGCCCACCTTAACGTCACTCAATCATACTTCACGACTATCTATAGCTTGATTAACGACAATTTGTCGCCGGGAAATTACATTTTGCTAGACATTTCTATTTTTGTCCCGAAGAACCTCGTCAACCGTTAGAAATGGTGTCAATACGTATAACTAATTACTGAACTATTCGGTGACTATCGTTATTACTTTGATACTGCTTTTCTCCGGGCTTCTGGGGAGTGAAAGAAGCATGTATCGACGATCACCGACGTCAACGAATAAAAACGGGGTCAAGCATAACAGCCTCCGCCGAATGAAAGATTTAATTTCCTACATGATCGTCGCTGTTTACAACATTATCAATTAGGAAGAACAAAAGAACAAAAGGAATTTTAATTCGTGAACATCCTCCTCGTGAATGAAAATGTTCTTCCCTGACCTTTGTTTCCCGTTTCCCTCGTTCATTCTATGTTCTATTATTCGCGTAGAGCCACATTTCTGATTACTATCGTCGTTTCCTGCCGCGTATCTATCTTCGATATCATTTACCATTATTTTCTCGTTCTCGTAACTGTAGTCAGGATCGATGCTATTGTTCAGGGAATCGTGTAAAAAGTATTTGTTCGGTATCAGTTTTAAGTTCTGCGATTTTTAGCCTTTTAGGCACGTCGCGCCACTATAGTGGCTTCCGCGGATGTCATCTCTCTGAACGACGCGCCACTATAGTGGCTTCCGCGGATGTCATCTCTCTGAACGACGCGCCACTATAGTGGCTTCCGCGGATGTCATCTCTCTGAACGACGCGCCACTATAGTGGCTTCCGCGGATGTCATCTCTCTGAACGACGCGCCACTATAGTGGCTTCCGCGGATGTCATCTCTCTGAACGACGCGCCACTATAGTGGCTTACTCTAGTAGCTCACTCGGTCATCGTTTGAATCAAATAATCGTCTTCATATGCATTGTTTCACACTTCTTTTGTCTTCACATCGATTTACAATATACAGACTTATCTTAACAATATAACTGTATCTTAACAATATGCAGACAGAATATACAGACACTCTGTACAGTACATATCAAACTCTGCCGCGCAGAATTCAACAGTACCTAAAAGGTTAAGATGCTCGCTTCCAGGCTTTCCGAGTGTCTCAGTTTAAATATTTTTCATTTTCGAAGCATTAATGTTTTCAAGATCCTGAATGCTTGGATTACTATATTCGAAAATTTTCGATTTCTAAGACAAACAGATTCCGGAGATTCTGAGCTCTTAATCCCTTGACATTCCATTTTCTTCGCAGTTACTGCGATTATAAATTTTTCGATTGCAATAATTTCTTAGAAGGGAAAGAAAATTTATGCTTATCGTGTGCCTAAATTTACTTGAATGCTCAAATATTGATGCCAAGAGATTAGAATTTTATTCCAATGTTAAAGGACAGAATAAAATCTATACTCGATAAGTTATTGCTAATTGTTTCTGGTTCGTAAACAAAGTAAACCGATTTGGATGAAATTTTCGTCATGTGTATAAGTTACCGTGGCTTACAAAATACATTTATATTTATCAATAGACTGCGAAATTTTCTGCAAAATAAAAATTGTATGCATCAATTGCAAGAGAGATAGGAGCCGAGCACACGTTTTACTTGAATAATCTGAACAAGTTGAAAATAGAGCTCTCCAATTATTTTCTTTTGCTCACAGCTTTAAACTGGTCCTAGTTATTTTTCTCATAAATGCATCAAATCCGGAGTCCATTTATCAAGCACATTCCATACAAGATACCTGAAACTCGTACATTTGACTTTTCCATTTATGGCTATTCTGAGACTCTCCACATTAAGAAGTAAAATCTCATACCAATACCTTCTCTTTCCTCGAGTTCATAAAATATCTTACTGAATTTACACATTTCCGTATCGATGATAAATCGTATTGAATCAATATTTCTCGCATCTACAGAAGATCGTTCGATTCCACTCTACACCAAAGACGTTTCCGTNATTTCCGTATCGATGATAAATCGTATTGAATCAATATTTCTCGCATCTACAGAAGATCGTTCGATTCCACTCTACACCAAAGACGTTTCCGTTCGGTTTAAACCAAGAAATGTAGCGCCACTTAAAAGCATGTAGTCACATTTCTTACTAGAAATTTTCATGACGAGTCGGACTTGTCAAAGTACGGCAAGGGGTTAAAATTTTCATTCACGAATTTCCCAGTTTCTCCACACCCTCAGCAATTCAAGATCTTCGACTTCCTTGTAATTTAATACATTCAAATTCTGAGATGCTCGAGTCTCTAACACTCGAGTGACCCGATTCTAATATTCGCAGTTTCTCACAGTCGTTTATCAAATTGTCTACAGTGTCGATAGATGACGTTATCGCACGTTGCTAGATCAGTGTAAAAAAATGTAGGCGATAATTTATTTTTCTGTGTCTCTCACCTTGAAGGAAACGATTGTGCGGAGGCCGTTAATTTTCCTCGCTTATTTTTCTTTTCGTCGGGTGATCATAAGTGCGGAGGCACATATTACAGGTAAAATAAGAGATGCGCGTACCAATGAAGATGAGATCGTTAGGAGGCGAACACTACCAAGTCGCGTGAAAGGTAATCGATTATGATACAACGTGTAGAAAAATTCTGCGGCATAGGTCGCGTGAAGCCTTTTGCAAATTGCTAGCGGCTGAACCGTGGAATCACGTGCGGCACGCCGGGAGCTGTAAACACAAGGCATCCATTTTAAATGTCAGACACACGAGTGTTCTTTTTGCGACCTTGAGCCATTGCGAATCGCTAAGCTAGAGAATTCCAAAGGCGCTCACGTTTTTCGTTGACCGTTTAATTGCCACTATCCATGCTTCGCCTTTTCAACGTATTCAGCTCCTTTTCACCGTCCTTCGAAGCTTTTAAGCGTATTACATGTATTTCTGAAGGGTATCTCGTTCAGTTTCTAGGTTTCAAAATTTTTAATGGTTTACCTTATTCAAATTTCAAACTCCAAAGTTATCTCGAAATACTTAAGCTTCTCAGTTCTCAATTTCTCAATGCTTCAATAGTTTCCAACCTTTAAATAGTGATTTCAAGTATTTATATTTTCAAATTTTTATATTGGCATATTTTCAAACTTTTAAGCGACCCAATTTCGAAATTTCTGGTTTTCGAGTTCGATACAGAGCGTTTGAAGCTTCGTTTTTTAATTCCTTCAAGTATTTTTGAACACTGAATTCTTAAAGACTAGCAATTTGCCTTCTAAAACTGTCCTAATGCTTTCAATAATTCCTTAAATATAAAATTTGTTTATATTTAAATTGTACAATTTTTATTTTAATTTTAAAAAACTTGTTTATATTTGTTTATATTTAAAGACAAAAATAAAAGAAATATAAAGAAATTTTTTAAAATTAAAATTAAAATTTTATAATTTAAATGTAAACAAATTAAAGAATTATTGAAAGTGTTAGAACAGTATTAGAAGCCAAATTGCTAATCTTAAAGAATTTAACGTTCAAAAATACTTGAAGGAATTTAAAACGAAGCTTAAAACGCTCTGTATCGAACTAAAGGGCAAGAAATTTCGAGATTGGGGCGTTTAAAAATTTGAAAACGTCCAAATATAAAAAAAATGTATAATTATATATCGATATAAAAAAATCAATATAAAGAAATATATATCAACATAAAAAAATCAATATAAAATTCGAAAATATACAGACTCGAGATTACAATTTTGTAAAAACTCTTTTGGCAGGTGATACAACAGATTTTAGTGGCGCCTCAAAGTTCACTGCTCGAGTGAGAAGGGCGTCACGCGTTAATTGATATACAAGTCGCTCCGACGTCAACAATTTACTTGGCCGGGAAATACATTCACTATAACCGTAACCTTAAACGGCGTTTAATAGAGCTGCTCGATTAAAACGCTTCGTAACAGTCGCATCATAAAATCGGACGTTCGGAGCGCAACAAGCTAATAGCCGGCGTTACAGCTATGATTACTATGAGTAAACTGATTTCGGTTGCAGACTTCGCGGACATCAGGATGAACGTGCCAGGGGAGCCAGGCATCGATTATCCTGCGTACACGACGCTGCCCCAGACGGGATTCACGTGCGAAGGACGTTCACGAGGTGAATGAGAGTCGCATGATTCATCGTCCCCATTACCCACGATCTCGGAGCGTCGGTATCGTATCACTTTGTCAACGAAATCCTGCCAATCGCCGAAGGTGACGGCGCGTCGACGGAAAAGTCACGACTTTGGGGTTGCGTAACCGGGCGCCTGTGGTTTTCGCACGATCACGGTGACCGGTTCGTAAGTTAAAGGCGTGCTGTACGATGACGCCGGGAAAAAGCCGCCCGTGCATGCTAATAATTCATCGGTCTTTCGTTTTATGAAGATTACAAAACGGTATTTCACCCTGGGGAAAAGTTGCTTCCTCGGTTCCTTTCCACTTCATAAACAACCTCGAATGCTTTGGTGCTTCGCAGTTCAGTAATTTCTTCCTAATTCGCATTCAGATTGCGCGCAAAAATGGACAATTTGAGGAGAGGAGATACGATTATTGGAGTCTCGCGATTCGTTTTCATAGTTGTTGACAATCGGCAACTATAAAAATAAGTATGATCCGAGCGTCAATTAGGGAGAACTTACTGTACAATTAATTCAAGTATGCATTAGAATAACGATGGAGAAACGAGAATACACTAATTTCTCCCTAATTCGCGCTCAGATTACGCAAGTGAGAGGAGATACGATTATTCGAGTCTCGCGTCTTGTTTTTATAGTTACCGATTGCCAACAACTATAAAAACGAGACGCGAGGTTCGATTAATCGTTCTCCTCTTCCGAAATTGTCCATTTTTACGCGCAATCTGAGCGCGAATTAGGGAGAAATTCCTGTACAGTGTCTCACGAAAGTATTCGAATATTTTTCAAAATGGAATATCTTTCTAAAAATTGGACCTAATTACACGAATCTTTTTGGTGATAACAAAATGACTAGTTTACTAGGCAATGTGGAAACTTTTACAAAATTTACAAATTGCTTGAAACGATGAAAAATCAGAAAGTCACGTTTTTTTAACCTTTTCATTCGAGCCTAGGAGAATTGTTTAACGTTAACCCTATCGAGCACTAAAATGGCAAAACTTGTGCTGCTTTATGAGAATGACGAAACTGAATTTGTTCAGACACCTCCTCATTTCTGTTGGAACGTATGCTTGGATTAAGAAATTTATTCAACCATTTCTTACTAATGCATCCTTACAATTTCAGCAATATTAAAATAAGAAAGGGGAAAACGGTCATTTTGATCGGCCTGGTGTAGGTTTAGAGTTAAATGTTAATGCTTTCGTCGAAATCGGTCGTTGTAGTGTCGAACTGCGGGTATTGAAAGATTTAAAAATCCCCTGATTTCTGAATAAACTGCATAAAATAAATAAAGAAGAGAGATTAGTGGAATAAGCGATAAGAAACGCACAATATCTACGCGCAGCAATAACATAATAATTCGTATTATAATACAGAGTAAAGCGTCAATTATCCGAACCTTGGTTATGCGAACCAGTGTTTCGTAATCATTATCTATGTTAGATAGTAATTTATGATCTAGAGAAAAATTAAAGATCACTTCGAAAAGTTAATGTCGAACGCGTCGCGGATACTTGTGCACGAGTTCGCTTAAAACGAGACCGGTTCGCTAATTATTCTAATAAGCGTTGGGTAAGGACTGTTTCCAACATTGTATACAGTTTCACGATCTTGCCGAGAAAGATTGCCTAATTGTAGCCGTCGAGTTATGCTAACGTTAAATTAGAATTTTTAATGATGCTCGCACCACGTGGAACAAGCGCGAATCCTAACCTCCGCGTACGTTTGGTAATGTTCGCGGGGTGTTAGGCGCGTTAACCGGGGATGGCGAGATGATAACTGTTGCACGCTCTCATTCGCGTGTTCTGATACCTTTTGATTATCTCGCTTATTTATCTGAAAGCTCTTGCATCGAATTGTATTATAATGCCTGTAATGGTGTATGTTTCCATTGTTCTCACGTTTGGTGAAGGATGGCTCGCCTCGGACGATTGTTATTAATTCTTGCCGCTAAAACGTTCGAGGATACGCAAAACCCTTGACTAACAATGGCGAACGCGAAATTTCTTCGCGCAGATGCAGGCACCGAACGATTAGAAGATCCTTAGAACCTTTCGCACCATTCGTTTGGCCTTTATCTCGTCGCTGGGCCGCTTTCGCCGACATTCTGCCACTTCTCAGGCAACGTCATAGCGAACAACATTATCGAGCTGTTGCTCAATGAAGGAACCATAATAAACTTTCTTCGACGAGAATTCATTCTCCGGCTGACACACCGATTCCAGTTCCCGCGCAGCCGTGTAACACCGTCGTGTAACACCGTCGCGAGAACCACCATTAACATCGTCCAAATCGTTCTAATTGCGCAAAAAGAGAGATTGTGTACGCTTTCACAATTAGGAACAGTAATAATAGAGCCATTATCATTACATTTTTCTCCACTCGATCTTCCCCATGCCGTGTCATTAAATGAAACCCCATTTAACGACTCGACTTACAAGAGTCTCGTTATTTGCTATTTCCTGGGATCTATCTCTGGAGGAGACAACAAGATTGAAACGGTATCTTTTCGATTACGGACGCAGTTTCTTTTGTTCGACACTATCGAATTGCCGGAGGGGTAGTTTCGTTGCAAGCTGTTGTACAGGATTCATCTACGATATAGCGAGGTACGCTTTATTAATTTTTGTGCGCAATCTGAGCGCGAATTAGGGAGAAATTACTGCATCACTTTGACCGTTCATGTGTGCGTAACGGAATTATTAGCTCAATTTTTCTTAGATATTGTCTACTAAACTAGTCCTTCTAAAAACTCCAAATAAATCAAATCGTTTGGTCTGATTTTAGAAAAGTTACTCCGTTCGAAATACAGTGCAAAAAACGTAAAAGGTAAATTGATTGTGTAAAATCGTTCACCTATAAATACAGTTGTTGTAAAATACATTCGTACATCTTTTAAAACGGTTTAATTTATAGCATTAAACGAAACTCTCTTAAATTATTCAAGATGAAAAGCGTCGTCACATGTATACGCCATATGAATCAAATAACGTGTTGTATAGTATTCAATTGTTCTAATCGGTAAACAATTTTGTGATATCTATATCTACGAAAGATATTTAACCCTTTGACATGCAAATAAAACAGAATTTGACGCGTTCGAAAAATACTATTTAATTTGGCTCAACTGAACAGATATGTGCAAGCTGAAGAAGAGAACGTTTCATTTTGAAATTTGGATTATTGATTTGTGGATGCAATTTTGTTATTGGTACTGTCGAGAAGGTGGGAGGGTGGGGCATCTTGAACATTGTAAGAAAACCAGAGTCGACGCAAGAATGAAGCAACAGAGTAATTTAATAATATCCTGCACGGGCGTCCGCCGAAAACAGTCTTTGACGAGTTAGATTCGTCAAAGTGTACAGTGGCATATGAAATGAATGACGACCCCAACTCGTCATTGTATGTCAAGGGATTAATCCTCGTAACACGTCGCTCTATGAACGCGATGCAAGAGTGAACAATAAGATTCGGGAATGTTGCGAATCATCGTACCACATAGGCAATTTTGGTTCATTGAGAAATAGTATGATTTTTAAGGGAATATACGCAGGTCAAATTTTAGAGCAATGTTTTAATATTCAAACGATGCAAATATTATCTACTGTGACTTATTAATTACATATTTCCAATTCAAATACGATCTTGGGAGAAAATAAAATTGCCAAACTATTTTTCGAAGAATCGAAGTTTTTTTGTGGATACAATAAAAAGGCGTCATCTAAATGTACGTTCAGGTATAATCCTCCTTAAAATCGTATACCTTGTTACGTAACGCTTTAATTGCTTCTCATTTACTCTCTTCATTCCATCAATCGTAAATTCTTTCCAACATATCCTGGTAAAAAAAATCGTCTTAGGAAACCGTATAGTAGTAGGTACCATAGAAAACATTTCGACACCTCACAAATCGCTTGATTTAGCCTCGAAATGAATATGAATACACTCTGCAGCGAATCCTCGTACAATACAAAATATGGGAGATTCAAGCGAATATACAAGAACACGTTTTTGAGAATGATATTGCTGATTACATAATCGATAAAAGTTCTAATTAGTCTCTGTGGATGAACAGTATTTTTCATTCTACCAATTTCTAAATATAACCTTTTTCATTCCACCAATTTCTAAACACAGCATTTATCAATATAATATTTCTAAATACAGTATTTATCAATACAATATTTAAAAATTGACTTTATTAAAAGGCAATTATTCTGCACAACATTGAATACAAACATACATAGAATACGTTCACATAACATAGAAGTATAATTATTCATTATTGTTAACGAAATCAATAGTGTATCTAATTCGAGGTCCAATCGCCTTAGTCATTTTTGTCAAAAATGCTTGTCTAGTTATTTGAACACTCCGTTAAAAAAGGACAAGTTTATTCTATGTACAGACAGAAAGCCGTGGATCTACTATATTTATATCGCAAAATAAATTCCTTTATTTCCTTTATTTCCTTCAATTCCATTATATGTTTCGCGTATCGTTCGCCTTACATCTTGAATCGCGCCAATTGTTCGGATAAGGAGAAAAAAAAACGTACTAATCTCACGTTACGCAAAGTAACGTGAAATCGAAAAGTAGTACGCGGAAAACAACGCGTTCTTGATCTGTCACCAACAGATTTGAAACAATAAACACACGCAGGCTCGCAGTCTTCGAATGCCACGTGATTTCACGTGATGCAAGATTAGTGTGTTCCTACCTCAATACGCCGCTATTCACGTTATCGATAAACCGCAATAATCCGCGTATCGCTATGCCACATCAAAAGGGGATGTGTTCGGAAACGTGTGATCATACATTATCACGGGGAAGATTTTCGCGAGAAACTTTGCGGCGCCGCGAAGTCTCGATAATGGCTGGGACGGTGACCTATTGCGAAACCTATTCCGAAGAAAATGCTACAAGTAGAGTTCGCAGGCGGCACGTGGGTATCGTGTGCCATCTGTGTGCGTGAGAATCATCCTTGACACCGATACTAAAGGTGAAAAAGCACGCGATTAAATCGATGATCTATATGAGCCTCCGTCGACGGCCGGAATTTGATTTTCGACTTTTGCTCGGCTCCTTTGGAGACCTTTTACCCGCACGATTTTTTTCGTGTAAACTAGCCGCGCGAGCAACCCGTTGCATATATCGCGGTAAACAAGTTGAAACTGGTCGACTATTATTGCGACACACGGCGGCTCGATGAAAATTAAGAGGAGGAAACGAAACGATAATGTATTTTCGAGCGGCAAGACGCGCGCGTCAGCGTCGAAATCGGGAGAAGAAGATCGTGACGATAATGTCAGATATCGTGGACTTCTTTTTAGAACCGAAGAAAAATCTCAGCCGAGAACCAGTCCGTACAAATGAGATTCAATTAATCTGGACTTTGCGCCGAAGCCTGCAAGAAGTTCCAGACATTCGTCTTTTTACCGTTGCGATCCTATTTATAACGGGGAAAGCTATCGCGAATCTTGTTTGTTGTTGTCATTCGTTGCTTGGAAAATTTGTTAGATAACAATATAATTAAACGATTACCGTTGATGATTCGATTAGAAAATTCTCAGTCGGAACGAATGGTTAATGGAGCTTATTAGGGAGCTAACTGTTTTCAAATAGTTATATATGATGTATGAACGGTCAAAGTAATTGGCTTCCATTTCCTTACAGAAATTACACGAACGATTTTTATGCAAAATAAAAATTCTCTACGTCGATTGCAGCAAGCAGGAATTGAATCAAAATTGATTTTCACTCTAAACATGTTTATAATCGGTTGAACATAATCTAACAGCAATATTAAATTTATCCTCTGCGTTTACTGTTTAGATTCGATTTGGTCAGTTTGTTCATAAATGCATAAAGATTTGCAGTCTATTAATCACTTCCATTGCAGCATGCGCGTGGGCGAATCAAATTTTCTCATTCTATACGAAAGCATCTTCATTTGTTAAGTATTCTTCTGAATGATTTAATTAATAATTAATAAATACTTAATATATTATATATTATTATTATTAATATTATAATATAAATATATTTTATTATATATATAAAATTAATATACTAATATATTAATAATTAATAATTAATATTTTCCATTTACGTTGCAAGAATATTTGAGATTTATTTTCTGATGAATTCATATACACTTTAACGATACTTCACACTGACCTGTTTTTACGGGAGGCAGTTTTCCATTGTAAATAGCGTTCGCGGCTAACAGAAACTGGTAAATGGTGCAACATCGTATTCGTCGATGTAACGGAATCGTGTCAGGTATTCGTGTAACGTCGTTTCGTACGCGAAGAAAGCGGTTTCAATTAAAATTTCCAAGTATCCACGGATCGATCGGGTCGCGAAACCTTCTCGATGGACACCGATCGCTCCATTGTGTCCCGTGGATCTCGCGGAAGAAACCGCCAGCTATTAGATAACCCGAGGAGAGAAAGAGATACCGTACGAATATAGAGGCAGAGTCGCATAATCATTACATAACACCTGTCGAACGTAAACATTGCCCGCTGCCACGATTATTTCAACTCGAAGGGAAAAGAACCAGCTCGATCATTAGGATCGTTAATCGTAACAGAGGAATGCTGAGTTGCCGTTTGCCACTGCATTTAAAAATGCTTTTCTTATTCCTGACGTATGGTGTGCTTCGTGGAATCTTATCTAAACATTTCACTTGCTCCTTTTATTTATTCAGAAAATTTACAAATTTACGCATTTATAAATAAAATATTTGCGATTCTATCAATTTATTATTACAGGATCGATCGATATTGTATTTAAAAACTACAGTGAACCCACTAGATACAGTATTTCTTATTCTACTAATTTCTAAATACAGTATTTATTATTCTAGCAACTTCTAAATACAGTATTTTTTATTCTACCAATTTCTAAATACAGTATTTATCAATATAGTATTTCTGAATACAGTATTGATCAATATGGTATTTCTAACTACAACATTTACCAATATGATATTTATGAATGCAGCATTTATCAATACAATATTTAAAAATCACTTTCGTTAAAAGGCAATTATTCTGCACTTTTAAGTTCGATAATGTTTCTCGTTTTCATTACAAAGCCATAGAATAGAATAATAATTAATTATTCGTTATTCTTATTAACGAAATCAATAGTGTATCAAATTCGAGGTTCATTATGTACTTTGTTCATTAATACAACTTACATACATTTATATTTTATGCAACTGTTTACCTGTTTCAGTTTCATTAAATAAAACAGCAGATTAATATTCAAACGGTGAGAAAGTTCGTCACCTTCGCAGTAGAGTAGAGGGTGGTAATGAGACTTACGTCAGTTTTATTACTACCTAACTGATTCTTAAACGTTCGAATGTCGTGATGTTGTCCGCGTACTGACGTAACATTCAGTGACATAGGATCGCCTACGGGCATCCAGGTTATTTACTTTATTCAGTAATCTGAGCAACTTTTTCATTCATCTTTTTCATATCGACATGTCACATTTCACTACAGTCTACATGTATCGCAATATGTGCAAGAAGTACAGTATCCATAATTATATTAATATTCAAATTATGTTATTTAATTATTATATTTAATATTCATAATTTCTTTCGCAGATCAGTGATTTGGGTATACAGTGTGTGTCTTTTGTTTAAAACTTTAAAGTTTGTTTATCTTTATAAATGATTTAGTTGTTGTATATTCGTCTATCGTGATTGCCTACAAACATTGACAATGACGGAAATATTCTGTTTACTACATAGTTCGCAATAATTATTGTTTCTAAACACTATTTCGGACGGAGGTAACTGCGGTAGAAGAATAAACAACTGAAACCTTTATAAAAATAAACAAAATTTAAAGTTGATTTTCTTGAAAACGTAGCGTAGTAAAAAACGTTACACCAAATTTATTTCTTATTTTTTTTTTCGTAGAATCACCCCCTTGTCGGTTGTATTACGAATTCCGACCCACCTACAATTAAATCGAATGAATGTTAATGAAAAATTATGCTTTATGTTTAATGACTTCTTTTTATTCAATCTTCATGCTTAATAATGTTCGCGTAAACTTCCAATGTTATTTTCAATGATCATAATATGAGGATAATAAACGTTGTACAAAGTTTGAAATTTGTATATTCGAAAGATCCATTCGAAGCACTGTAAAAATTCTTTCGGGTAAATAAAGTTCTGCATACAGATCGCTACGCGATTTACGACGACAAAGTCACATTTTTTCATCTCTTTTTCATCGAGTTCGCCGAATACATACAATGTATGTATGTATGTCACTAGCAAAAATCTTTTGATCACAGTGCTACTCTATGATTGGAGAGACATTTGCCAAAATTGCTCAGCTTCTCATCGAAACGATTAAAATTTCACTTCGATCTCCTCCATTAGGCTACTACGCGGATGAAATGACCGACTGCCAGGTGTTCCACGTATGCCACGACGAGCTGGTTTCCTCGTTTCTCTGCCCGATCGGCTCCCTCTTCAGCCAGAAGCTGCTGACCTGCGACTGGTGGACGAAAGTGGACTGTTCCTCCAGCGGCGAGTACATCGGAGCGAACAGGGACAGCTACCAGCTGGACGACGACGAGATGATCAGGAATGCGTACGCGATGGTGAGCCTGCAGTCGGGAACAGACGTCACTAAGGACGGCTTGGTGGACCCTGACCGAACAGGGGCCATAGTAGACTATGACTGGTTCGCGGGGAGACTCTTCGACTATTACCCTTCTGGAGGGACCGGGAACGATTTGAGAAATACCTACGATTATTCTGGCACCGTGGACTACAACTCTCTTCCGGCTTACCGAACTTCCAGCAAAAATCAGGAAACGAGTCGGAACTACCAGGAGAGGTTCTCTGGTCGCGAGAAGGTCAGGAAACCTGTGAAGGATTCACCGATCATCCGAGTGCAGAACACCAAGGCTCACGAGGAGCAAAGAACGAGGGGCTACCAAGATAGCCATCGAAAGTCTGAGTTTGCCAATCAGTTCCAGCCCTCTTACGCACCTACCGTGCCCACTGTCACCACCACTACTAGAAGATTCTACTCTCCGACAGTGCCCACAACTGTCAAGCACTCTACGGTTGCCTACAACAAACTCGACCAGGCCATAGACAGCTCGGAGTACTACTTCTCGCACAGTGGAACCAAAAGTCTCGTCACACCTTCCATCAGAAGCTTTGCTCAAGACAGCGGGAGGAGCCCGCAGCTGGCAAGGGCCAAAGTTTACGAAGATTCGGTTCGGTCGATACCTCAAAGCGACGACAATCACGGGGAGAAGTACGAGGACGATTACGGCGAGGAGATCGTTGAGGACGAAGGAGGCGGAAGTTCTGCTGGGAGGTTCCAGGTCAAGGTAACCGATGATTATAGAGGGAACGACGAAGAAGGGGTCGACGATATAGAAACTAGAGGAAGCATTGGTCTAGGCCACGCGTTGCGCCAGCCGATCAGAGGAGTCACGGTGAAACAACACAATCTTGTGACAGACCAAGTGAAATCTGGGAAGGCCGCTAAAGAGCAATCGAAGGAAGGCTATCAGGACACTTTGGCTAGACCGAAGTCAACCGTTGCCGATGATGACGAACAAACCACTGAACCGTACCAAAGAGACGATCGAAGAGACGACTTGGAACCATCGACCATTCCTCCTTTCGTTGAGAGTACTATAAAAGCGACCACTGTGAACGACACTTCCCGAGAGCCTGATAAGGAGAAAGGTGTCACGGACAGAATTGATAGATCCGGAGAATTCTTAAGCAGCAAGGAACCCAGGAACCCAACGGAGCCCACCAGCAAGTTCCAGATAAAGGTGACCGATCAGGCTGAGGTGTCTAGTACTCTGCTGATCAGGGACGCGACCATCGATGATCCTTCTCATCCCGGAGCAAGAGACTACGTCAGATCACTGTCACTTCCCAGCGAAAAGTTGGATTACGAGGATGTAGAATCGTTCACGGACTCTAGGATTCAGGGTCATTCTTCGACTCCAGCTAGACCCTTGATTTCTTCTTCTGGCCGGTGGTTTTCATCGTCCGATCGCCTGCCAACCAGGAGTCCTCAATTCGGAAGCTCCTCAGCCTTTGGAGGAGATGCTCGCGTGAATGATACCCAAGATAAAGGCGTCGGCGATGTCGAAAAGCTTGAGGATAACAGAAGTTCCCCCGCGACGCAGAGAAGCTTGGAAGATGTGGAGAAGAGACTGGGAGAAATTGAGAACGAGCAGAAAGCGATCGAATCGTCGACAGTGAACCTTCTCTTCAGGTCGATCACGCCAGCGACGTTGAAACAGATCGAGGAAAACATAGACAAGACCAGTTCTCCTTATCAAGTGACGCTAACGGTGAACAAGGACAAGGACCTGGTGTCGAACGATGACTTGATCGGCAAGCTGGTCGCTCAACAGGGTAAAGAGGTCACTACTTTGATCGACAAAGCGGACGAACTCGAGGTCGTGAAGTTCACAGAAACTGAGCCACCGACGACTATTCAACCAGAAGATATCGCTGCGAAGAATCTGGATCAATCTGTAGACTACTACCAGATCGCCGACGGCAACTTAACGGGCGAGTACATGGACTCGCTGAAAAATCTCAGCACCGTCAATCTATTTCAGCTGATGTACGAGCTGCTGAAGGTAAACCGTTATCCACGACCCTTCTCCTTGGGGAACATGATGTTCAGTGATCAGTCTTCGGGAGCCGAAGGGATCGCCAAAGATGTAAATTCTGGTGTGCAGAATGAGGATTATGGGAAGCTCGAGGAGACTTCCGCAACGGAGAATCCTGTTCCTTTCAAAGAGAAGACCTTTGAGACTCTCGGAACGGAAAATCCTGTTCTTTCGAAAGAGATCTTTGAGTCTCTCAGAACGGAAAATCCTGTTCCTTCGAAAGAGATCTTTGAGATTCACAGAACGGAGAATCGTGATCCTTCAAAAGGGAAGATCTTCGAGACTCTCAGAACGGAAAATCCTGTTCCTTCGAAAGAAATCTTTGAGACTCTCAGAACAGAGAATCGTGATCCTTTGAATGAGAAGATCTTTGAGACTCCCATAAAGGAATACGCTAACCCCTCCAAAGAGAAGATCTTCGAGACATTTGGAACGGAAAATCCTGTTCCTTCGAAAGAAATCTTTGAGACTCTCAGAACAGAGAATCGTGATCCTTTGAATGAGAAGATCTTTGAGACTCCCATAAAGGAATACGCTAACCCCTCCAAAGAGAAGATCTTCGAGACATTTGGAACGGAAAATCCTGTTCCTTCGAAAGAAATCTTTGAGACTCTCAGAACAGAGAATCGTGATCCTTCGAAAGAGAAGTTCTTTAAGGCTCCCATAAAGGAATACGCTGTCCTTTCCAAAGAGAAGATCTTCGAGTCTCCCATAACGGAAAGAGCTATTCCTTCAGAAGAGAAGATCTTTGAGACTCCCGCGTCGGAAACTACTGTTTCTTTGGAAAGAAAGATTTTTGAGACTCCCACAACGGAAAGCAGCGTTCCCTTGAAAGAGAGGATTTTGGGGAAACTGTCGCAGAGCTTTGGCAGCCCCCGTTACAGAAACGAATGGTACGTTGACGTGCCTTTGCCAGAGAGGGCTCTCGACTTCCAAACTGGTCTACCCTTGAAGAGGTCCGAGGTAGACGGAGAGACAAATAACGAACGTTCAAACACGACTGACAAATCACTGCCTAAAGCCTCGGTCACGACTACTACGCCAAAACCCACTCTGACAACGGAGTTTCCTAAGGAAATAGTTCACACGCTGTTTGTACCGTCAATTGGGTTCTCCTTTGATACTAACAAAGGACGTAGCGAGTACGTGGATGCTGTTTTGGGCGGTCTAATCGATCCACAATTTGTCGAGAGTCGGCGAAAGGAGACTTTAGTGGGACTAGATGGTGAAACATTATTCTCCGAGAATGGGACCTCCGATGGGGACGCAGAGAAAATTAAGAGAGGGACGGTGAGCTCGGAGAAAGAGGTTACACGCTTGGAATAGTTATAGGGTATCGGTGATGATAAATAGATTGCGAATGTTCATGCGTTTGTGGAATTTTGGAAGTATTTCGTCGTAGTATTTCGTCGGGTTTATCATGGAAAATGAGTTTGGTTATTTTCTTAAGAGTTCTATCAGATTCCTAATTAAGTAGACTTCCATAAAGAGAGTTATTATGCACTGACAAGAGAATATTCTCGAGTTACACAAGTTGATTTTGATAATGCCATGTAAGAGAGATAGTTCCTGGAAAAGTATTCAACGCGTATCTTTCTTCCAGCCCTAAACATTAAGGACTACGATTATGTATTTTAGATGTTTCTGAAACTTAAGGAATGTAGGATAGCAAGTTTTGTTCAAATTGTGTGTTTTTCTGTTAAGAATTTAGCAATTGTAAAGTGAATAAAAGGAAACTGTTAACGTGAATCCGAAAGTGGACAATTTAAAAAGTTATAATATGACTTTATATTTAATGATAATACAACTATTGTTCACACACACAAATTGTTCTCCATCGTAATTTATTGTTATCCAAATGTTTGTCTTATTGACGTGACGTTAAAATAATATCTTAATAAACGTGACATGTACAAGTATATTTTACAAAAAATGTGTGCAAAGATCGACGCAAAAATATGTATTAAATATTTTTCTGGAAACTGTTTTGTGTTCGAAATCGACTCGCGTAACTCGAATATGTTTACTCGTCAGTTTCGGACACTCTCGCGTGTAACAAACGTTTGTAATTCGCAATCTACTCACGCGGATCTGAATTTAGTTTTAGAACGAAGTCTGTGATGTGCTTAGACACACGGGATCGTCCATTCTTGGTCCCGTTTCCTTTTTGTTAAGTATGCAAGGTGAATTGTGGGGAAAGGGGGGATGACGATGTTTGAAAAAAATGTCGACGATTGTATTTCATCTCAATTGAACGAACATAATTCTCGGCTTAGCAAATCTAGTAATAATCGTTCGTTTATCTTCTGCGTCGTGTCTATTGAAAACGAAACGACGATTAACGAGAAATGATGATGAATACAAATTTTTGTGATAGGGTGCATTGAAATACAGTTGTCAGGATTTACGATTCGATGCGTTTTTAAAGGCATTACGAAAACGATGGATTTGCATAGATGTGTGCGTGTGGTTCTTGTTTATACATAATGTGTGCGAGAGGGAATGGAAATTACAGGTGTAATTATGAAATTGTACCTTATGTAACCCCATACACTATGAGTTTTTTTAAATATATCTATTCGTTGTAAAAAATATGTTTCCTTTCCGTTCCTTCTTTTGGTATACTTTAATCGTAATTAATATGGTTAACTATAGATACAAAAATACAAGAGAATACTTTTCGTCGCTGTTTATAACAATTATCATTGGGTAGATCACAAAATCCTTCGATCTAGAGATGACAAATATAATTTATCAATTAACGCGAAACTTATTTTCTAACAGACAAACAGTAAATATATTTCTGCTCCAGTTGATTATCTGTTTATTGCCATGACAACGTCGATACTTGGAGACTCGCGATACTTGTTTAATCGATTCGGAGTGCAAACCTCGAGGTTAAAGTATTCGGAGTTATCCGAAAAGCATCCGTGTAAATTCTGCGACAACCGAACAAGCTGGATAAATAAATCAAACAGCTATAGTTTCTAGTTGATGGTTTTTGTAAAATGATTCTCGTTGTAGAACAGCGAATAGCAATTCTATCTAAAGAGTAAAAGAGTGTTAAAAAGATTATTATTTGGAGGGTTGTAGGATTGTGTTCATAGGAAACATTAAATATATTTGTCTTCGTTAATTGATTTGGTGAAACATGAGTGAGTCCGAAGCGGATATTGCGTCACTCGATATCGGGACGTTCGATGAGGATGAAGAGAAGGATGACGAACTGGATGATATGACTGCAATGAGCAGGCATTCTATCGCCCACATGGACTACCGGTATACAATAGCAACAATAACAAATAATTTCCAACCGATTGTATTTATTTTTAGCGTTTGCATGCGTGTGTTTACGAAACAGAATACAGTAATTTTAATTTATTTTAAGTCTGTTGACATTATAAAGACTCTTTTAAAGGAAATTATTGAATAGATTCCTTCATTCAAGTATGCATTAGGCTAACGATGGAGAGAAGCCTAAATAAATTCGGTTTTGTCATTCTTAGAGAATACAGTAATTTCTCTCTAATTGTCGCTCAGATTGGAAAATTTGGGAAGGAGAGATACGATTATTCGAACTTTACGGCTCGTTTTTAAAATTGTTGACAATCGGTAACTATAAAAACGAGCCGCGAGGCTCGAATAATCGCATCTCCTCTTCCTAAATTGTCCATTTTTTGTACAAGCTGAGCGTCAATTAGGGAAAATTTACTGTACAGTAATATTTCCTTAATTCGCACTCAGATTGCGTACAAAAATGGACAATTTGAGAAGAGGAGGTACGATTTTTTATATTTGTTGACAATTGGTAACTGTAAAAACGAGCCACAAGGCTCGAACAATCGCATCTCTTCTTCTCAAATTGTTTATTTTTGTGCGCTGTCTGAGCGCGAATTAGGGAGAAATTACTGTAACGCGAACAGATTTACAGAAATATCATTTTTAATCACTATCGTGGTAATGAAATCTATAATAAAAAGCGTAAATATCCATGTAACCTCTGTTTTCGTTGACTAGATCGTACAAATCTGTATTTGTATAAAAGTCTGCAGCCTAGCGGTAATTTATGATAAGGAAATTGATTTTTGTAGATTACAGTGGATCAGAGACAGGGTGATGAAGTTTCTGGGGATTACCGGCCACGAGCTTCAATTCTACAAGCTAATCAACGTAAATTAAAATTTGCTGTCCTTTAATTGTAAAAAGAATTGCGATATGGAGATACGTAAAAAATGTTGAAAAATTCATATACAAATTTAGCAATGACATATTGCTTTAATGAAACGAGCATTGCGGTATAAATGAATTTTTTATTTTGAAGATTCGTTATCGATACTTTTTTTCACGAATCCTGCATCAGGTTTTAAATATTATTTTCGTGAAGCATCGTGATCGTTGGTTTTTTTATTAACTATAGTTTCGGAAGACTTCAATTTAGTAGCCTTCACGTGAAATTTTAATAACAACAGGCGAACAATCGGTATTACGAAGACAAGATTCTGAATTTCTTGATTCTCGATCTTTACGGCGTGACGGATCTCGAGCGGAAGATAATATTCTTCTACGCGACTTATTACACGGAAGTTTACCAAGTGGAAGTGCCTATCTGGGAAAGTGAGTACCCGCGATTAATTTATAACACGGAATATTCAATGATTCATTAGATGGAAGGTGTGAATTATTTAAATGTTGACTGATAACAGGCGCACAGGCTAATAAATTGGCTGCCCTGACAGCGCTGGCTATGAAAGGGAAATCGCGTAGGTTCATTAACGTAATGTTCCATAAAAACGGTACCCGTGCATGCCTTTTCACAGAGTTCCAACAAATTAGAGATTTCTTGATGTTGTCTGCAAACGAAACTGTATGCGTGTTTTTAATGGTTTCATTTCGTATCGCTTAATTTCCTATCTAAATTCATTGCACTGTTTCTGCCATATTAAAACTTATTTCAAATAGGATTTATTTCATAGGAAATTCACTATAAGAACGTTCTACCGGAGGATAATTATGATATCATTGATTAAGTTTGGATTGATAATTTTTGATTGATATTTAATAGATTGATTAAGTTTAAATATAATTGTTCGTTTTATAGTTAAACTTTATAAAATAATAAAAATTAATAAATTTATTTTATTGGATGAGATTAATTAATAAATCGATGAATTAATATTTTAGCAATAATACGTATCTGGATAGCCTGAGTAACGTCGTAATTTTATAAATATTATAATGAATAATAAATTTATAAATATTATAATGAATTGAAAATTTAATAATTTTTACTAAATCGAATTGTTAACAACCTCGTCCTCTAACAAAACTTGAACCTTTTCTTATCGATGGGCTGCGGATTTTTTAGCAAAATAAAAGTTTTTCAAACCAAAAATTAAATTGGAAATAAAACGTTTCTTTTAGTAATATTAATAAGTTAAAAATAGAGTAACAGTGGTATTAAATATCTCTTAAATCTCCACAATTTTGTATTTCAACTACTCATTTTCGCCATATAAGAAACAAGAATTGACTTGTTCTATCAGGGAAATGATTAGGAACGAAGAAATTCTAATTGAAGCAGTTGTGAAAGAAATCATAGTGCAAGAGGTTGATGCTAAATCTACCGAGCCAGTCAAAGTGATCGGTTTCACATTTTTTATTCTAAAGCTGTTGAAAATATAAGGTCCCTTTCGTAGAAAATAATCGAATAAATTTCATAATGCAAGCAGACGTTATGATAAAAATTGTGAAAGGTTTATATACATTCAACCTTGACATCACCACAAAGTAACACACATTATTCATTTTTAGGAGTCGGTAGGTTTAGCGCTTTAATTAATATTATTTATATTATTATATTAATTAATATTATTAATATTATTTGCTAAACGTAAGCACTGTAAATGTCTAGAACCGCATGAGAAATTAGAAAAGATCTTTGATTGAAAAATGGTTCTTCTTCTGCTGAAAAATTGAAATACTGTAATTTCTACGAAGAATAAAAACCGGGGGAGAACAGAATTCTCTCCTCCAAAATCATTGTGTCTTTGACACCGGTGAGAAGAAGCACCAATTTTCGTCGGTACACAAAATATTAGATGAACCGTTTGATCGCAATGTCTGGATGCGTCTGTTTTGATCTCGATTTAATTGAGACAGGGATAGTGCGAAAAGGGGATAAAAAGGGTAAAATGAAGGTGGCGAAGAAAAAATCAAAGAAGAGCAAAATGAAAGTTCCGAAAGTGGATCCCAGCGTGATTTCCTCTCTACTGCAGCCGTCTGCTACGACTGTGCAGACTCAAGCACCTTCTACGTTGAGCGTGTTCAGTGAATACGAATCGGAAGACGAGGAGGAAGAGGGTGATGAAGATGAGGAAGAGGAAGGCGAAGAGGACTTGGTAACAAGGAGCAGCGGAGATACTTTGTTTTCAGTCCGGAAGAAGGATACGACTGATGTTACGCCCGCTACACCCGGTAGATAATAATATGGACTTTTTTATAATAATAATATGGATAATATTTATTTATATTTATTATTACATTTATTATAATATATATTATAATAAATATAATAAATATGTTACTATATTTATATATATTGTAATATATAAATATATTATTATAACAATTGCTTTTGTGTAATACAAACGAATTTTCAAATTTGATAAAAGCACGTGTCTGTTATACATGACTGTGGATTTTTGTGCAAAATACAAATTGTCTGCATTACTTTCTTTAACGATTTTAATGCGTTGAACATAATGCAACAGTATTTTCAAATTCTTTAAATATTCCCACTGTTTCGTGTCTTATCTATAATATATTCGTTTTTACCACAAGTGCATGAAATCCGTAATCCAAGCATTACTAACGATGTTCAAACTGTTAAATAAATTGAAAATCTCTGTTTTCCAGACCCATCGACCTTTATACAGCCGCCTGCGGGAGAGCTGCACAAATACGTGATGAAAAAAGTATCAGCATCGCTTGAACTACAGGATGTCCAAAAATTATTGTATGAGTGGGAAATGAGGGGTTCCAGAGGTCATTTGAAGTAACTTTTTCCTCAGCGAAAATGCAATCCGCGACTTTGTTTACGAGTTATTAGCGAAAAACCCTGACCAATCGGAGAGCGAGTGCGGCCGGAGCTCCTCCCTTGCGGCCAATGCCGCGTCGCGCCGGCCGTCTGACACAGCGGTAGTTGTCACGAGGGTGGGACGTCAGCCGCGTTCTCTTATTGGTCAGTGTATTTGTTTAATAACTCGTAAACGATGCCGCGGATTGCATTTTTGCTAAGGAAAAAGTTACTTCAAATGATTTTAGGAATCCCTCATTTCCCGCTTGTACAATAATTTTGGGACACCTTGTATATTTTTTCTAAAGCGTCGAGTAATTGGTTTCGCCGTGTGTACGGATGGGAGAAATGATTGCAGAGAATGGTGGACAAAGTGAAGAAGATTCCTGTCCTCCACTTGATTTGTGGCGAAGTGGACGGTAGCAAGGCTGAGCTACAGGAAACCACATTGTTCTATTTTCTGAGGGTCACCGACGAGGGTGTGCCATCGTTCGACTCATTGCAAGAATGTTACGCCGAGATCACTCAGTACTTGGTCGTTGGATCTCTGCAGGGAAAATTTCTAGTCACCCTGAGTAGAATGCTCAGTCAGGTCTATATGATATTCTACTCTTGTAGCGAAAGCGAAGCAGTGCGATTCTCGACCAATTGCGAAGATCTCATTCATTTCTGTTCATAATTGCTTCACGATAGAGAACAATTACGGTTAAACCGCGGATTTTATGCATATATAATAAAGCCGAGTAGATGAAATTTAAAACAATAACAATATTGCAAGAATTTACCAACATTGTATCTAGTATTTTCATCTCACTGAAAATTATTAAGGAATGACAGAAATTTTTATTTAACTCACATTCTGCTGGAATTAATGAAAATCATTTTTATTTTCTTAAAGAAGTCCGCTGTCTAGTTATGGTACTGCAAATGGGAAATGAGAGGTTCCTGAGGTCATTTGAAGTAACTTTTTCCTTAGCGAAAATGCAACCCGCGGTTTCGTTTACGAGTTATTAACGAAAAACGCTGACTAATGAGGGGCGAGCTCGCTTGGCGCCAGACGGCCGAGCCAATGAGCGGAACCAGGCTTCGTCCGCCCGTTGGCTCGCCCGCCACGCGCCAGCCGAGTTCGCCTCTCATTGTTCAATGTTTTTCGTTAATAACTCGTTAACGATGCCTCGGAGAAAATTTTTGTAAAGGAAAAAGTTACTTCGCATGACCTCAGGAACCCCTCATTTCCCGGAACTACCATAATTTTGTGATACCCTGTATATTTGTTTAAATTGTAACATTTTCGTCGCATGTGTTCGATGTTATTTGTGTTATTCGTATATCTAAAATAATTATTATAATATTGATTAATTCGTGTAATTAATCGTCTTCTTATACGGTATGCAATCGAACTACCCAGTAGTACTCGCTTTCTTTGTATGAAATTACGTCGTACTGTAAAATTTTCCTTTCACCATTGACGATTCATGAAAATCTTTAGGTGTTCAGGCCTCTGGTAGAAAGTCAGTTCCGTGGCCCAAAATTCTTAGAGATGTTACAAATAGAGGATACCGATTCTGACGAGGAGCAATCGAATCTGGCGCAGATCATGCATTCTCGAGTATGTTAAATTATAGATCGTTTAGAAATTACGTTCATCTTTGCAACGTTTATGTTGCGAATTCTGAAAGGAATTAATCTTTACTGTACGCTCGGAGTTGTGCGACACTCCAATGAAATTTTGTAGTAAAACGAATCAGTCTTCGCGTCCACTTTCCATGTATTTTTACTACGTGTGAGCTGTAATTTTAAGAAAAGCTTCGTTGATACGTTTTTTAGAATGTCTAAGGGATATTCGGTCATTTCTGAGACCCGAAATAATAAATAGTTTTAACGCGACAGTCGTTTGAAATTGTTAGTGTCACAAGCCTTTTCCGTATTCTATGAAATTTGTACGCGATGCAAACAGCAAAGTTTAAGAGATTACAGTTTAGTAAATCTTAATCTTTCTAATAATCAAAGGATCGATTTGTTTTTCACACAAGATTCGCAGCTATTTTTCGACATCAAAACTTGACGTGTTCTTTTTTAACTTTTATTAACACCTGGTTTTCAATACGAAACGAGCAGAGTTCGGTGTTCAGAAGACCCTCGGAATTCCGCAGAGTGTCGATTATGGTACAAAAGAAGCAGAAAGATAAAGACAACAATGCGGATGGCGAAGAATCGCAGCTTCCGAGTAATGTATCAGTCAAAGTATCGGCGAAGGAAACAAAACCGAGGAAAAAAACATCGAGAGTGTCCGGCAAAAGTAATTCTGCTGTAACTATCAATTTGAGACCAAGGTTGTCGTCGAGTAAGGACGAGTGGGACCAAAGCAAAAAGGATATCCTGTCCTATTTAGACACACTGATAGCCAGCGTACAGTGGTGCGTGAATTTTGAAGTATTATCGTATATATTCACAGAAATTTCTTTTCACTTGCAAAAATCATTCCTAGCTTTCTAGATTCTCATTTTATATTTTATGCTTTTTGTTTACATAATTCTGCTACTTATTTATATATTTTATTTATGCAATCGATAATACGTGATCACTAAGCTATTGATCCTTACACAGATTCACATTTTCATACTTTAATAATATTTTTCTTTCTCTTTTCATTTTTTATTACTTCCTTCGTTAAAACAAATTAAAATCGTTCGTGATTCTATGGATATGAAAGTAAAGGAAAAGTTATTTTCATTCACTAAAAAATTCCTGATACGTGTTTTTTCATGTATTTTGAAAATTTTTATATAACATAAATCCGTAACGATCCGCAATCTGATTGCAATAATCTTCTGCATCGGTTGCAAGAAACAGGAGTTCAATAAACATTCGTTTTTTGTTAATACCTCTAGCAAATTGAAAACAATATTATATATTTAAATTATAAATATATAAATAAGTATTATATACTTAAATTCTTCTGAAGCTTTTATTGTTACGTATCTCATTTGCTCGTGTTTGTTATAGTTGCATAAAATCTTTGGTTACGATTATGTTTCTATTTTGTTTTATTATTTTACTTTAGTTAGCCTAGTTATGATTTACGATCCTCGATTATAAAGAAATCCGTAGCATAATTTACAGAATTATTATATTGAACACGACAATTCTGTTCCATTGCGTTTCTGATCAGGACGTTGGAGCACATCGAGGGCGATATTCTGCTAACAATGCCGACCATCCCCGAGTTGGACGATCCACTGGTCACCGACGAGATGCTGGAGACTAACACGAACGTGATCAAGCAGCTCGAAGACGCGATTATGTCCTGGGGAGTGCACATTGAAAAAGTACCGTTGATCTAGTAATCAATTTCTCCCAAAGAGCCCCAAGTTAGATTGCTAGGACAAAGGAATAGACTGACAGAAATACGATTGTTTCAGGTTTTGGAATCGTTTCAAACGAAAGTGGTGCAGGGGAATGGACCTTTGGCGGAGTGCAGTTACTGGAAGGATCGGGAGACAGGTTTATTGATGTTGGTCGAGCAACTGAAGACCCCTATGGCACGAAGGATCTTAGGACTGTTGAATAAAGTGTTGTCACCGATCGCCACGAACTTTGAGTTCTTCTACACGGATCTATGGAAGTATTATTCGGAGGCCAGAGACAACGACCGGTTTCTCCAGACTATCAGTAGACACTTCAAAGTGAGTAGATGCACACCGTTCATCGAGATACTCGAATTATTTGCCAATTTTTTTGTCAAGTACGGTAGCGAACAAAAGATTATGACGCGAAGAAAAGAAATTGACAAAATGTACACTGCTTGCAAATCTTCCTTCGAACGACGTGTCACAATCATGACTTGTCCAATGTTTATGAGCCTTAGCAGATGCAAGTCTCATTTTTCAATTTTAATTTCTTACGTGGCTTTCGTGCTCTCTTAGCTGCATTTTGAGTTTGTACATCGTTATTCGCCACTTTCGTTTTCCATTTATGAAATGAAGAACTAATTGTCCACAGATAATCTCAGAATCGGGCGATTTCAAATTGGCAATGCAGTCCATTGCATCGTTGACAGAAGGATTGAGAATGATTTGGATTTTATCGAGCTATTACTCGGTCGAGGAGAAGATGATGGGTCTAATGGAAAGAATATCTTGGCAACTTTGTCAAACTGTAATAAACAACCTAGGCATCAGGGATCTGTTCAAGTTAGTAGACTCGATGTATAGAAATTGCGTGTTTTCAATATTGCCGCAATGCTTCCAGCAGACGTGAGCAGAATTTAAATAACGTTATATAAGATATACAGTGACCCACAAAAGTGTTGTACACCTTTTAAAACGCAATAACTATCTTAAAACTGAACTAAATAACTTGAATATTTTTTAGATGATAGAATGACTAGTCTACTAGACGATGACTGTAATGCTTTTTGTTTTTTTAATTTTGTTATTACTTGGAATGACAGAAAAATGAAAATGTCTCGGTTTTTAACTTTTTTATCTGAGCCTATAACAAAAGCTTAAAAAATGTCTTTCGTAGATCTCGGCAACTTACATGCGTGTTGAAAATTTTATTGAAATCGGTTCACGTTGTTACGAGCTACAATAAATTAAAGATCGCAAAAATCGCACTTTTATCACGATTTTGACCAGAAACTGTAAGAAATCTGCAATTTTCTTTTTTATACAAAAGGCATTTTTTAAATTTTCGTTATAGGCTCAGATAAAGAAGTTAAAAAACGAGGGTTTTTTCAATTTTTCCTTTTTATTTCAAGTAATGGCAAAATTGAAAAAAAAGCTTTTCAGCCATCATCTATCATCTAAAAAGAATTCAAGTCGTTTAGTTCAGTTTTGAAAAAGTTATTGCGTTTTAAAAGGTGTACGAATATTTGTTTTGAGTTACTGTATATATGTATATAAGATAAATAAGATAATTGTGTAATTCAGGTTGGGAATTGTACGGTGATCTGATCATCGGCTCTGGGTCTGAATTTTAGGTTAGAGAATTTTTCTCACAGCAAATTGAAGTAAAGGTTTCTCGAAATAAAATCTTTTTGTTGTATCTTATTTCGAGAATTATTTCTTATATCTTCTTATATCTTATATCTATTATTCTATGTATATCTGAAAACAATAACGAAATAATTCATTATTTGAAATTCCTATTATTGCAATAATATCGATAATACTTTTTAATTTCAAATAACAGCATTGAAAGTTAACGGTCTGAAGTGAATTATATCAAACAATCATCTTCTATTTCCATTTCAAATAAATGTTGCCCGGGTCTAGTTTCGAGAGAAGTTGTAACGCATTTAAATGTTATTGTACCGTCTCTGAATGGCACAAAACGATTTACGTCAGCCTGGTAAAATTTGTAACTGTGTTGAAACAATGCACGGTGCTTTAGCAGACTAGAAACCGTTCTCTCCATCATTGCACAACTCTCCAGTGCCGGAAAGTGTCCTAGACTAATTTAGCAATCTATGCAATGTTGTTCTACTAATTTGCAGCCTAGATTGCTGCAAAAGGACACCCAGATGATGGTAACTATATTGCTCCACATCATGGTGCCATACGTTATCCCTTTGCACTCGGAGAATTTTCTCAGGCCTACAAGCAGCTAGAACTTATCCGTGAAATAGCATGTAACGCCTCAAATAAAATACGAAATGTAACCTGGTAAATGATTACTGTCTTTAAATAAGACTTGGTATAAGATTATATTGATACAGAAACAACATCTTGAACAACTTTTATTTTGAAACTACCATAATTATCTGTATTCCAGTTATGACTTCTGCGAGGGAAAATTCGAGTGCGAAGAATGATAATTATACTGAAATAAATTGTAAAATGAAATTAACAATCGAAAAAATGAAATCGTAAAATGAAATTAATCGCTTCGATAAAGCTAATAATTAGATTACCGTTCTCCATGCAAGAATATATATTTACATAGTTGGTTCGTTATCTATACTTAGAAACTTTTTAAGAACGAATACACAATATAATTAATATTTTTCGATAAGTATGCATTTTTTATTCCTAAAACCATGTATTTGGAAACTTTTAATTTGCGATTCATCTTTCCATTCTAATATACCGGCATTATACCAGAATTATACTATTATACCAAAATACGTCTATATCAGTATGACGTCAATGCGGCGACTTCACACCGAAATTCGCAATATTTGGTTTCTATAAAAGTTGTAGAAGAACTACTGAAAATACCGGTATTTGAAATACCGTTCCAGTCTCTGGATCAATGTTCAATGTCCAATCTTCAAAGTTCAAGACTCAAAAAGCTCAAAAGCTCGAAAGCTTAAAAAGCTCAAAGCTCAAAAACTCGAAAACTCAAAAGCTCAAAATTCAATATTCAATATTTAATGTTGAATCTCCAATGTTCAATGTTCAGTGTTCAATGTCCAATGTACAATATTCAATGTGCAAGGGTCTATAGTCAACGGTCAATGGTCAATGGTTATTGTTGGTCAATAGTCAGTGATCAGTGATCAGTGATCAGTGGTCCGTGATCACTGGTCAATGGTCGGTTAGTCTCTGGTTCAATGTACAATGGTCAATGTTCAATGTTCAATGCCCAATGTTCAATATTCAATGTGCAAGAGTTAATAGTCAACGGTTAATGGTCAATGGTTATTGTTGGTCAATAATCACTGATCAGTGATCAGTGGTCAGTTAGTCTCTGGTTCAATGTATATTCAATGTTCAATTTTCGATGTTCAAAGTTCAAAGCTCAAAACTCAGAGCTTAAAAAGCCCAGATCTCAAAAGGTCAAAGAGCTCAAAGCTTAAAAGGCTCAAAAGCTAAATAAGCTCAAAAGTTCAAAACTCAAAGTTCAAAGCTCAAAGCTCAAAGCTCAAAATTCAAAATTCAATATTTAATGTCCAGTGTTTAATGTTCAATGTCCAATGTTCAATATTTAATGTGCAAGGGTCAATAGTCAACGGTTAATGGTCAGTGGTTGTTGTTGGTCAAGTGATGATCAGTGATGAGTGGCCAGTGTTCCGTGGTCAGTGGTCAGTGGTTGGTCAGTGTCCAGTGTGGTGACTTTATGCCGGTATTCGCAGCACTCGGTTTCTTTAAAGATAGTAGAATAACTACAGAAAACTACCTGTATTTTACTGGTATTTGTCTTTACTAGTCTAGCTTTAATCTTTGTTTCCAATATTTTTAAGTTCTACGGATTGTAATAGAATCAGGAAGATATACTAGATTAGCGTACAAATTAATTTTCAAATCTGTGCGAATCGTTTCGTTGCTCACATATCGGTGACATGGCAGTTAAAGTGTTAGCGAATCTCAACAAATTTGCCTAATCTCCTTCGGATTGTAGTTAACAATAGCTAACGATTACAAAATCTTTGGTAGAAGACCCTTGGAAGAGGTTCTGCAGAAAACGGAGAGTGCTTGCATAATGCTGAAGACCTGGAAGACTGCGTATCTGAAGGTCCGACTGGAAATCGAGGAGTCCGGCAAGGGTACTCGCTGGGAATTCGATCAGAAGCAGCTGTTCAAGAATACCGAGTACATCGCCATGGTTTGTGACTGTCTTAACCAAGTGGCAAGCGTTCTACAGGACTTCTACAACATCTTCGGCCCGTACTTGAAGTCGATCATCAGCGACCCGGCGCAAATCGACACGGTAATAAAAAGGGTTGGCCGGCTGATTTTGCCGATCCAAGAAGCGGACTTCAACATCTACGACGAGTTCAACAAAGAGAATTGGGAGGCCCTGATGGCGTCGTTTTACGAAGCAGTCCGTTTCCTCGAGAACGAGGCCAGGTTCTTTATCGACGAGTGCTTCATGGTGCTGATCAGTGCGGAACAAGCGCTCGAGGTGCTGCTTATGTTCAAGAACATGAAGACCAGAGATAGCATACAGCAACAATTGTTGAGAAAGTTCGGCGTGATCGTGCAACAGTTCAGCAAGGAAGTCAGCATTGTCGAGGGCATATACAATAGAGGTAAGATCATTCCAGCAAGTGACGTGTTCTTTACAGAGCTTTCTTTGTAGAATAAATTTCTAGAACTATTAAAGCTATATACACACTTACAGGGAATAGAATTTATCTAAAAATACTGAAGTTACATAAGAGACTTATGGGAAACACAAAGGAATATCGGCAGAGTACGAAATAGTTTTATTTCATTACTTTTATTTACCAGTTTCGGTTTGTTGTCAAGCATTTAATTAATCATGAAGTTTCTTTATTAAACGTATTTAATTGTAAATAGCTTGAGATATGTAGTTTAATTAACAAGAGAAGATTAATTTTGACGGAGGTGACATTATTTATATTTAATGCTAATAACAAATGATAATTTCTATTTTGTTTAACTCTCTCTCTCTCTAGATCGATGTATAATTACACTGTCCGACAAAATCAAACTTTTTTTCTGGGTTTCTAAGATGTGTATAAGAGACAGGTGGAATTATACATCGATCTAGAGCTGTCTCTTATACACATCTAGCTGTGTATAAGAGACAGGTGGAATTATACATCGATCTAGAGCTGTCTCTTATACACATCTAGCTGTGTATAAGAGACAGGTGGAATTATACATCGATCTAGAGCTGTCTCTTATACACATCTAGCTGTGTATAAGAGACAGGTGGAATTATACATCGATCTAGAGCTGTCTCTTATACACATCTAGCTGTGTATAAGAGACAGGTGGAATTATACATCGATCTAGAGCTGTCTCTTATACACATCTAGCTGTGTATAAGAGACAGGTGGAATTATACATCGATCTAGAGCTGTCTCTTATACACATCTAGCTGTGTATAAGAGACAGGTGGAATTATACATCGATCTAGAGCTGTCTCTTATACACATCTAGCTGTGTATAAGAGACAGGTGGAATTATACATCGATCTAGAGCTGTCTCTTATACACATCTAGCTGTGTATAAGAGACAGGTGGAATTATACATCGATCTAGAGCTGTCTCTTATACACATCTAGCTGTGTATAAGAGACAGGTGGAATTATACATCGATCTAGAGCTGTCTCTTATACACATCTAGCTGTGTATAAGAGACAGGTGGAATTATACATCGATCTAGAGCTGTCTCTTATACACATCTAGCTGTGTATAAGAGACAGGTGGAATTATACATCGATCTAGAGCTGTCTCTTATACACATCTAGCTGTGTATAAGAGACAGGTGGAATTATACATCGATCTAGAGCTGTCTCTTATACACATCTAGCTGTGTATAAGAGACAGGTGGAATTATACATCGATCTAGAGCTGTCTCTTATACACATCTAGCTGTGTATAAGAGACAGGTGGAATTATACATCGATCTAGAGCTGTCTCTTATACACATCTAGCTGTGTATAAGAGACAGGTGGAATTATACATCGATCTAGAGCTGTCTCTTATACACATCTAGCTGTGTATAAGAGACAGGTGGAATTATACATCGATCTAGAGCTGTCTCTTATACACATCTAGCTGTGTATAAGAGACAGGTGGAATTATACATCGATCTAGAGCTGTCTCTTATACACATCTAGCTGTGTATAAGAGACAGGTGGAATTATACATCGATCTAGAGCTGTCTCTTATACACATCTAGCTGTGTATAAGAGACAGGTGGAATTATACATCGATCTAGAGCTGTCTCTTATACACATCTAGCTGTGTATAAGAGACAGGTGGAATTATACATCGATCTAGAGCTGTCTCTTATACACATCTAGCTGTGTATAAGAGACAGGTGGAATTATACATCGATCTAGAGCTGTCTCTTATACACATCTAGCTGTGTATAAGAGACAGGTGGAATTATACATCGATCTAGAGCTGTCTCTTATACACATCTAGCTGTGTATAAGAGACAGGTGGAATTATACATCGATCTAGAGCTGTCTCTTATACACATCTAGCTGTGTATAAGAGACAGGTGGAATTATACATCGATCTAGAGCTGTCTCTTATACACATCTAGCTGTGTATAAGAGACAGGTGGAATTATACATCGATCTAGAGCTGTCTCTTATACACATCTAGCTGTGTATAAGAGACAGGTGGAATTATACATCGATCTAGAGCTGTCTCTTATACACATCTAGCTGTGTATAAGAGACAGGTGGAATTATACATCGATCTAGAGCTGTCTCTTATACACATCTAGCTGTGTATAAGAGACAGGTGGAATTATACATCGATCTAGAGCTGTCTCTTATACACATCTAGCTGTGTATAAGAGACAGGTGGAATTATACATCGATCTAGAGCTGTCTCTTATACACATCTAGCTGTGTATAAGAGACAGGTGGAATTATACATCGATCTAGAGCTGTCTCTTATACACATCTAGCTGTGTATAAGAGACAGGTGGAATTATACATCGATCTAGAGCTGTCTCTTATACACATCTAGCTGTGTATAAGAGACAGGTGGAATTATACATCGATCTAGAGCTGTCTCTTATACACATCTAGCTGTGTATAAGAGACAGGTGGAATTATACATCGATCTAGAGCTGTCTCTTATACACATCTAGCTGTGTATAAGAGACAGGTGGAATTATACATCGATCTAGAGCTGTCTCTTATACACATCTAGCTGTGTATAAGAGACAGGTGGAATTATACATCGATCTAGAGCTGTCTCTTATACACATCTAGCTGTGTATAAGAGACAGGTGGAATTATACATCGATCTAGAGCTGTCTCTTATACACATCTAGCTGTGTATAAGAGACAGGTGGAATTATACATCGATCTAGAGCTGTCTCTTATACACATCTAGCTGTGTATAAGAGACAGGTGGAATTATACATCGATCTAGAGCTGTCTCTTATACACATCTAGCTGTGTATAAGAGACAGCTATCTTTTAACACCAATTAGAACTTTCTAACGTTTTTTCTTTTCATGCAATTCCTGTTTTTTGTCGGAATTTTTGGGTTCTTACAAAAGTTCGTTTATTTAAAAAACTGAGGGTGATGGAGCAATTCGGTTTTCGGATTCTTGTTCAGGGAGTGAAGCTCTACAAGAATTTCATAGTGGCTATAGAAACCCAAAAATCGTGTCGGACAGTGTTATCGGTCGATTCGATGTATAAATTATCAATATGCAAGATAGATGTTCCTTTCCTTTTTGAATTATTTTATTGAATTGAAAATAATTGCAACAGCATTTTTTAATTATTCAAAAATATTTAGCGTTTTGTATTAGATCTATTCAATTTTGTCATAAATGTATAATATCCGCAGTCTAATCGTGAAATAATTTTTCAAGGTTGCCTAACTTTCAGGAAAACGATTTCCTCCACTGTTAACTCACCATCCACCAATGGCCGGAGCTATATTCTGGATTAGGCAGCTATTTCATCGTCTAAGGAGACCTGTTCTGTTTCTGCAAGATGTTCAAGAGTTGAAGCACAACGATTTTAAGCTTGTCGCCTTCAGCCAGTATCACGAGGTGGCAAAAGAGTTCAAAGCTTTCGAGGAGGCCAAATTTACTGCATGGGTAACCAAGGCTCGGACGATCGCATCAAATACTATGAAGAGAAATATACTGAGGATGGTGCAGTCCGAAACGGATAAAGGTCCATTACATTGTATTTTGCTGGAAATTCTTTAGATCGAGGAAAAGGTGATTAGAACATGAAATCTGACGTAGGTGTGCTAACCTTCCCTGATCACAAGCAAGGAAGGAATGTGCAGACGATTCATGTGTCGAAGAAAGCGAAATCCAAGGAGCTTGGATCGCTTGGTTCTACACCTTCCACCGTTCACAAGGGAGACACTATACTGTCCAAACCTAGCATCGGTAAGTCGAATTTTTCAAAAATTTTGATGCGTCGGTCAGGATCCAGTTTGAATTTTAATTTACATTTCAGCTTGAACTTCTATTCATTATGCTTAAAAATATGTATTCCATTTAAATTGTGAATCTGTATCTCACATTGAATTTCAAATTTCAAATTTCAAATTTCAAATTTCAAATTTCAAATTCAATTTCAATTTCAATCTCAATTTTAATTTCAATTTCAATTTCAAATTCAAATTCAATTTCAATTTCAATTTCAATCTCAATTTTAATTTCAATTTCAATTTCAAATTCAAATTCAATTTCAATTTCAATTTCAATCTCAATTTCAATTTCAATTTCAATTTCAATTTCAATTCCAATTTCAATTTCATTCTCAAATTTCAATTTATATCTGATTTTGAAATTCAATTTCAATTTGTATTGAAATTTAAATTTAATTTGAATGAAAACATTAATTTTAAATTGACGATGTAATTCCCATATTTTCAATGAATCTTTTAATTTAATTCAACATCTTATGTTAAATTATGTATTATTTTATCTAGGACAAACAATTGAAATTAAAATTTATTTTAATAAAGTACAGAATAATTACTTTGCACGTGTTATTCATAAAATAAAACTAATGAAGTATCTGAAATAATTCATAACTTAAAATGATTATTTGTTATCCCTTTTCGAAAGAAATACGTTCAACCCTGACATGGTATTAGGAAATTTGTATTTTTCTACAAGGTTATTGTTTAAGTCTTTGTATTTTCCTTAAAAATTGTCACAAACTTTCCGAGTAATCCAATGTAGAGTTTCGGATTTGTGTTCGAATATTTCAGCAGAGCTTCATTTTTTAATGGATTTGATAGTTTCCAGAGGCGATATAGGAAGTTTAGGAATCGCTGGCTCGAGGCCACAGCTTCGTGAAATCAGACACGAACGCAAATCGTTGTTGCCGACGCACAGGGAGAAAAGTTCGGCGGTATCCTCGTCCGCGGAGAAAGCCGGAGTCCACGCGAAGCAAACGTGGACCGAATTCTTGAGTGGTTCAGTTCTAATCGAGTGTCAACTCCATTTCGAAGTGAACTTCGATTGGCAAGTTTGGGAGATCATCCAAGAGGTGTCGATTCAAAGAATAATCATCGAATTCATCGATTCTTAAGTATTACACTCGCTCGTATCGGTTCGCAGGCGGAATTGATGGAGCAGTTGGGTTTCGAATTGTCCACCTCGGTGAAGGAAATCAGCATTCAAAAGGATCGGTTGAGAAAAGATATAGACATCTTGCAGAGAGTCGTCAACCAGTATAATACAATGCTGGATAAGCTGAGTAAAGCCGACGTATGCTTTTCTAATTTATCAATTATTTATTATTAAATTTAATTAAAATTAAACGTTAACCCTTTGCACCCGGAGAATATAGTTATGCTCTATATAATATATAGAATCTGTTGGTAATAATTACTCAAAAATAATTAATTAAACATCGTATTGACTACGGATTTTACGAGATACAATCTTATTATGACTTCTCGAACGAGACGTCTGAGTATAAAAGGTTTTTATGCATTAAATTAATAACAAGTAGGGGAATTTGTAAGTGGATTTTTTTTTAGTTCCTCAAAATCAGTAATTTATAGAATATTTTCACTCTGAACAGATTCAATTATTGAAATCCATGTTGATGGATATAGAAAAACATATTCAACCTGGAGTGACGCGCATCAACTGGGATTCTCTGAATATAGCGGACTTCGGTGAGAGTTGCGAAAAACTGTTAAAGAACTTGAGCTCCACTATCGATCAAGTAAACCACATGAAGAACGATCTTAACAACAGGATATTCTCCGAGATGCAACGATATAACTTGTTTTCTCTGTCTTCCGAATTACCTGAAGGCGACTTCTTACCATGCAAGGTTCGATTCGTTTCGCAAAATTTTTCCAACAAATTTTTCCAATCTATCACAACCAATTTTCGACCATAGTTTCTCGTTTCGTCTTCGTATGATCATCTAGAAATGGTCCGTTGGAATTTGATATTTCTCTATTCGTGAACACGTTGACTGACGCGGTGGCCATAGTCGACGCTATAACTTCAGCAGCGTTACGACGTTCATAGTTCACCGATGCAACCAAACTCGATAAAAATGTGTAGAGTATGCGAACAGACAACGTTTTACAGTAATCTCTACCAGAAATGTTCGGAGGTTGTAATTGAAACTGACAGATCTGAGAATACTATGTCGCGATTCTTCAGGCCTCGCGGCTCGTTTTTATAAAAACTCGGGGCAGTCGGCAAAAAAAGGCAGCGGTCTGCATGTCGGTGTACGTTAATACGAATACATAGTAATGCTAGAATAAAAACGATAACATAACTTTTTTGTTTCTAATCTTTTGCCACGATTCGAAGGCAATTCAATACTAAACTGAATTGTGATTGTACGTGGAATTTAGTAATTAATAATTTAAGATCGGAGTCACGATACGAATCGTCTTAAGCCTACCGAACTCTAAAGGTGACTGACGTGTGATGCTTTATGAGAATAACAAGACCGAAGTCAATTCGAACACACATGCCACTATTCGAAGGCAATTCGATGGCCACATGTTACTATTCGAAGGCAATTCAGATACCACGTGCCACAATTCGAAGGCATTTCGGAGACCACATGCCATGATTCGAATGCAAATCAGAGGCCACATGGCACAATTCGACGGTCATGTACCTAGTACCAACCACGTACCTTATAGCTCCGCAGTTTTTCTTACCCGACTCACACTCAAACAGAGCACTTTGTGTTGTCTTCCGGGAACTCCGTCGACTCTTAGCATCGACGTAGCAATACATTACATAGGCGTAATACTAGCACAGGGAAATTCACAGCAACCCGAAATTTGGAATTTCCGAGAGAAATTACTGTATAT